ACTTTCTCTGCGCCCACCTCTCAGCCAGCATCATTGCCGGGGTCTACTCGTGCATCTGGTGTCTTTAACTCAGCTCTGCCAATGTCGGATTCTCCTGCCCGTGGTAGTGTTGAGGATCTCCCTACTACACCTGCGGACACCGACGAGCCAGAGGTACTCTTCTTAGCAGCCAGTCTCTTCGAGTTCAACATTGCTCATGATCGGCGTGAAGGCGGGATACCATATCTCGTGTATGTACCGGGCGAAATTTTCGATGTTATTGGTATGAAGGGTGAGCTATGGCTTGCGCGGAATCAAGACGATCAAACAAAAACAGTAGGATGGATTTGGGAAAAGCACTTTGCGCGTATCTTACCCGAAGATGCATAGTTCGGCTTCCAGCAGTTGTTTCACCATGAGGATCAGAATTTGCTCAACTCAGGTTTTGTTGGGGGCGTTTTTGGCGAATATGCCACCAACCTAGCGGCGTTGCGTGTGTACGTTCCTTATCCGTTCTGGTTCCTTTCCTTATGTGATTCCCCAAACCCCACCTTACCATTTGACTTTCGACCGAATTCACTTTTACATTGGCATTCTCCGCATATGCAAAATCTACGACCGCGGCTGCTGAGGGCGGGAGGCATTGCTGGCGTCTACCCTTTTGAGACCTAACTTCCTTGTATGTATTTACGAGAGAGATGATTTACACCACTTTTTGAGGGATTTGTTCAATCTGGCACGATTGATGTCAGACTTTGGTTGTATTTGGCAATGCGGTTTTTCTCGTTTCTTGTTTGGGGAAGGACTTTTCGTCGCATTAGTGTATAAATATGAATGTTGAGAAGATTCTGAATGGACTATCGTTCTGTGTTATTGCAACTACTCGACCCACATATTGAATACATTTTAGTGATATATCAAACGCATTATCTAGCAGAAGAGGTAGTACAAAATGTTGTCGCACTAGACGTAAAGTTAAAGCTACTCTAAACGTATTTACTGTGTCTTCTCTGCGATAAGCTAAGCAAACAGAAGTCTATGTGTGCCTCTACTAAAAGCATTTCGTACGACTTGTAAAGAAAGGGTGTTTGTGTAGAGAGCTTGCGACACGAAAATCTTTATTCATCTGGTGGTGAGCATGGGTTTCACGGTGGTCTCTAAACCCTACTCCTCCATTTCTGATCCACTTTCTGAGTCGTCTTCGCTACCTGACATATCTTCGTCATCGTCCTCATCATCCTCTTCACCCTCAAGACCGTATGCGTCTTGGAAATCAGCTAGCTGCTTGATCTCGATCTTGAAGCCTGCGTCTTCAAAGTCCTTCTTGAGGCCCTATATAGAAAAGTAAGCAGCGTTTCAGAGCAAGAATTAGAGGTAAATAACGAGGAACTTACGTCAGTCATGATACCACCGCATGTTACTACTAGATCCGTCTTTTCTGGCACGAACACACCAGCTACAACCTCGTTCAAGATGTTTTTGACGTCTTCTTCAGTCACCTTGCGCACCTCGCGAAGCGCCCAATCCTGCCAATCCTTTCCAACACCACGCGTAACAAGATCAATGAAGGAACTCCTAGCAGCGTCGACAATAGTAGCGCGCTCATCGACAAAGTCGCGCACGATACTAGAAATGGCACCTTCGAGAGCCAGCTTCTCAAACTTCTGTGTACCGTCGCCGTATTCTTTGATGACTGTCTTCGCTTTGTTGTACGCGGCAAATACATTGGGGGATTTGGAAATGCGGAACTTGAGTAGGCCTGTCTCGGGGTCGCGGAAGAAGTTGCTGCCGTATGCAAGACCTGTGCCACGGATTGATTGCCACATGGGGCCTTCGACGGCATCGAGATAGGCCAGTGCGACCATGAGTGGCGGAAGTTGGGCGTTTGTATACCCCTTTGGTCCTTTGGATGTGAGTACTGCGAAGGAAGAGTCGATGGGCATGGGGATTATGTAGTGTGTGCCACCTGGGTTACGGCCGATATCTGATAGGAGTGCATTGCGATCATCGATTGGGTTCACGGTCGGCTCCGGGCCGGGCTTGAAAGCGTCGGTGAGATGTTTGAAGGTGGATACTGGGTTTGGCAAAGTCTCGAGATTGGCGGTCACGAGAATGCGCATGTTGGCAAAGGTCAGCAGGTGCTTTCTCAAGGCTTCGAGCTTGTCGAGAACCTGTTTGGGTTCCGTCTTAAGCAATTTCAGGATGCGCTTTAGGTAGAGACCTTTGACTAATGTTCCAGTAGCGCGAACAGCTGAAGCGGCATCGTAGTGTATCATACGATCAACTGCAAAGCTCATTGAATTGCCGTCACGCTTCTCTTCGGGCACATCTGCAAGCATCTTCTTGACTGCAGAGATGATGCGCTCAGTGTCGAACACTGAGTCAACAAGCATTGATCTGAGCCATAAGACGACCGTCTCAAACTTGTCAGCCTCAGCAATGAAGGGAATGTAAATCATTTCCGAGCTTCCGATATCAGTACCACGGTCCATGGAGTATTCAATCGTATCCTGCTCAAGCTTGGTGATGACCTCTTCAAACTCGATGCGCTTTCCATCCTTTATGATAGGAGTAGCGAAGAAGTTGGTGAGATATACACCGAGCAGAGGCTTGAGTTCCGTTGGTAGCGATGCGGTTCCGAGCGCTAAGCCGAAGTGCACGAAAGAAGTTGGAATGTGTTCGAAGTGGATGAATAATGGAAGACCATTCTCATCCTTGTCCACAATCTGCTGGATATTGTTCTTTGATGTACCTAGCTTCTTTGCTAGTCCAGAGCGTGCTGTTGTAGTCTCGTAGAAGTGGATAGACTCGGTGCTCGGAACCTGAACACCAGCAACGATCTCTTCTGGAATGGGCTTGTCGTTCTCCTCTTGGGCTTCCTTGAGTTTTTGTGCCAATTTCTTCAGTCCCTCTTCACCTAGCTTTTCTTGCTGTGCCTTGACTCGTGCAATCTCGTCTGCTTTGATCTTATCTGACAGAGCCTTTGAGGGTTTACCGAGAATGGAAACGTGATGAGCATCTACCATCCACTTGTTCAGATACGCTCGCCATTCCTCTTCGGTCCAGGTGTCCAAGGTATCGAATACGTCGAGGGTGGCCATGGCGTCTTCAAGATGAGTTCCATTTCGGTCACCGAAGACGTGATCTTTGATAATCGGATCTTTGTACTCATCCATACCAATCTCAGACATATAGCGAGTTTGACGCTTGAAACGATGGAGACAGTCTTTAAGATAGCTCATGTCAAGCGGCTTGGAAGCGTGCTCTTTGAGGACTTCGAAGAAACGTTTCTCTGCATCTGCCAGCTTATCTGTCTCTACAGATGACAGGGTCCACCAAATTATCATGTCGGTATGTCCTTTGCACCAAAAGTAGACCATACTTGCAAGATGCTCCTTCTCCACAAGCGTGTTTACTAAGACCGAAACAGATGAACCAGCAAGGTAGTTGAGTAGTGTGTTGATGGCAGTCTCTCCGAGATCGTCGATGGTCTTGGGCCCTAGGAAGGCGATTTGAACCTCGCCCGTTGATTCGTCCTCTTCTGGGAACTCGACCGTGTCAATGATTGTTTTGCTTAGTGGTGGAGTCTGCTTCGACTCGACCCACGGACGCTTGAAGGGCGCACTATAAGCCGGTACGCGGTCAACGATCTGGTCCTCGAACTTGTCCAGTACATCCAGAAGATTTGGATGATCCACCTCTCCGATCAGCACAAGTCTTATGTTTTTAGGTTGGTACATGTCTCGATGAAATTGGCGGATGCGCTCTGCGGTAGAAACTCGTAGGTTCTCCATCAGACCGCCTGTCTCCATGCGGAAACCATCGCCTTCAGGATAGAGGAGACGGCGCATCTGGAGATCCATCAGGTCGCCCTGTAAGTTTTGACGTCCTTGCATTTCAGAGTAGACAACACTTGTGTTGTTAGCAAACAACGCACAAGCGTCGAGAAATACTTACCCTGCATCTTCTCCTTTGCCATCAACGTGATGAACCTCAGTGTAGCAACCGGCATCGGTGAGTGTAGGTACAATAAGATGATCGAGGTAAATAGGCAGTAGCTGAGCGAAACCTTCCCAGCCTGCCGTTGACAGAGTATACACTGTTTCGGAGACGTCCGTCCATGCATTTGTGTCGGAGTATGATCGGGTGGCAATCTTGTCTAGTACACCTTTGAAAGGATATCTCCGTGAACCCATGAAACAGAGGTGCTCAAGGGTATGCGCTATGTCATTTAGTAAACATCTGTAGAACACGAGTGAGAATACTCACGTGCGCCCGAATCATCGTGGATCTCGGTGGCCACTGCGAAGTTTCCGTATACTTTCGGCCCCTTGCGATCGACTACGACTACCCGGAGACCTGTTCGCTGCGATTCATACTGAGTGAAAGTGGCATCAGCGTAGTTTGCTTTGAATTGCTGCAGCTTCTTGAAATGCGACTCGTGCTGTATTGACCCCATGATGTCGAATTTGAAGGAGAGGGGGTACTGCAAAGCGAGGCTGCTGAAGTATCTTTCTCCGTTGCGCAGGCTGCAGGCGCAGGCCGCTTTGTCCGAATTGGTACTACCATTGGTGTGTTAGCTGACTTGTCGTACATAGCCGATGCATGCTTGCATTTGATATGCGATACTAGCGCTTGAAACCAGATGTCTAGTATAATGGGAAGATGCAAGACTCACGAGCGGATAAGAAGAAGCGCGAATAGCAGAAAGCCAGCCCGGACAAGGAAGAAGGGAATAATCGGAAGCAGGGTTTGGAAGAGGCGAGTTACGACGATGGTGCTATGGCGAATCTACCAAGTAGCCCTGATCCCGACTTGTCTCCTGTGATTGTCATCAAACGCATATGTGCCAGCTTCTTCAATCGACCACACGCCTTGAGCGTGGCGGGGTAAGTGTGGCGGGGCAGGGGACGCATGCGTGCGTTGACGTCGCTTGGGTGTCCGTGCAGCTTCAATGTTGGTCCTGCAACGTTGCGGCTGCCCTTCCTGATATCGACATGTCAATCGCCCCGTAACTACAGATGCCTTCGCAAGTTCCGGATCATCAGCTAGGCGATGCGCTGCTCCAGTCAGCCGCACACGGAGCGTTTCCCCAGGATGAACATGTCGCGTCTGCAACCGTACCTCCCAGCGCGCTTCCCAAGCTGCTCGAGGTGGTCGCCAAGGCACGAGAAGACACAAAGGTGCGTGAAGCTACCATGTATCTTTGGCGGCGCTGACTGTGTTGCCAGAACGAAGTACGCAAACTCTCAACAGAAGCCGCGCCGGACGTCGATGGCTGGATAGCACAGGCACGCAAGCTGCAGGACGACATCAAACGCTCGCAAGAGACGGCCAAGAATATCGTAAAACAAGCCGAAGCTGGCAAACAAAACACCGCTCGCGTCCAGGATGCTGCAAGCAAGGTCAGCCTGTTGCATACCGAGATTGCATACAATGAGAGCTTGGCGCAAGCGGTGGAGCAGCTGAGAGATATCTCGACTCTGCTCGACTCTGCCCAGAATGCTGCTGTACACGGCCATGTCATACACGCTATACAAATATTGGAGGACGCAGATGGCGCCTTTCAAAGACTGGGGCCTTTCACCACCACGAGGGTAGTGGGTGTGTTGAAGAACAAGGAAGAGCAGCTGAAGAAAGCTATCGTGGAAACCGTGACAGAGTCATGGAACGGGCTGATTTCGGTTGACAATACCAGCCACAGAATCGCACTGCATCAGTCCATCGAACGCGAGGCCGAGGTCGATATCAATACAACCACCGAAGCGCTAACAAAACTGGGGCTTCTCGATAGCTTCGTCACCCGCCTAAGCCGAGATCTTGACAGAGTCATAATCTTCCCCCGCCTTGCCATGGGTACCGACCGCGTCGTGTCCGCGTTTGAAATTCAAGAAGACGTCATCCAACGTGCTGGTCCGGTCAACGATGGTAGGATAAAAGCTACCTTAGAGGATGTCCACTTGCTCGTCGAGTTCCTGAGCACGCGCCTACCGCCTAGCATTGCTGTTCCACTATCATCCAAAGTTATTCCGATCGTCGCTTCTCGTCTGATCTCGAACCTGCTTTTGCCTGCCGTGCCATTATCCACAGAAGGAATCCCGCACTTTCAAGAGTCGCTCTCTTATGTCTTGGGCTTGGTCGAGTATCTTGATGAGCTAGGCTGGTCTGGCCAGAATCGTCTAGCCGAATGGGTGGATAAGTCTGCCGAGATATGGCTTGCTAAACAGAAAGAGCATGCGATTTCCCGAGTGCAAGCCATGTTCCCAAAGACTGTGCGAGAGATGAAAACGGTTGAAAGGGTCGAGACGCAAGTCATCTCAAAAGGCGATGCATTGCATGCCGGAGATGAACAGGAAGACGACTGGGCTGCTGACTGGGACGAGGAAGGAGAAGTCACACAAGAGAAAAAACAGGCTGTCGAAGATGAAGAAGAAGATATGAGCGCTTGGGGTGAGGATGATGATGTGGTCGATGATGAGTTGAAAGAGCAGGAGACCAAGGAAAAGCCAGCTGATGCAGAGGATGCAGATGATTGGGGTGCAGATTGGGACGATGAGACTGACACCAAACCTGCTGCATCGCCAAAGCCTGCAAGAACCATACCAGAGCAACCGAAAACAAATGGAAAACCTGCATCTCAAAAACAGCCCGCGAATCAGGAGGTGACACTTCGAGAAACATACACAGTAACGGCGATTCCGGATGCTATCATGGAAATCATCTTGCAGGTCATTGCAGAGGTAGACACGCTGAATTCCCCCGAGCTCGTCAAGTCCGCAATCGCACCCGCAAGCGGAGGCCTATACGCCATTCCTAGCCTCCTCCTTGCAATGTACCGAGCTACTGCTGTGATGCATTACTCCAAAGACGTCGCAAGTAACATGCTTATCTACAACGATTGTCAGCGATTGTCAGATCGTTTGCGACTTTTTCTTCAAGATCAGGCTGAGAAAGATCAAACATCAGCATTGCCACAGCATTTGCAACCATCTAAACGTCTCAAGCCGATGCTCGAGTCTGATATCAAGTCAATTGATGGATTTGGAAAGCGTGCGTACGGGCGCGAGATGGAGTCACAAAGACAAATTATCAGGGATCATCTTGAAGACGCGCAGGGCTTTCAAGGATGTACTAACGTTCCCTTTGCTACGGTCTGTGATGATGCTATCGCCACGACTATCGACCGTATAGGTGATGTGAAGCGACAATGGCAGAACGTCCTCTCTCACAGCGCCCTACTCCAATCACTTGGCTCACTGGTATCAGCTGCCCTTACCAAATTTGTCACCGATGTCGAGGACATGTCAGATATTGCAGAAGACGAGTCAAGAAAACTGCACGGATACTGCGTGTCACTTGCTACCCTGTCCCAGCATTTCCAAACAGAGGATGGTAATGGAGAGACGAGAGATATGGCCGGTATTTACACGCCCAATTGGTTCAAGTTCCAATACCTGAGCGAGATACTGGACAGCAGCCTTGCAGATATCAAATACTTCTGGACAGATGGTGAGCTGAAGTTGGAGATGGAGGCTGACGAGGTTGTGGGCCTGATCGAGGCGCTGTTCGCGCCTAGCGATCATCGGAGGAGAGCTATTGCTGAAATTAGGAGGACCAGTATGACTTGATGAAATGATATACCCTTGAAGGGAGCACAGCTATGCTCTCGTGAGCGAGTTCATACTGTTCTAGATATGAGATGACCCAAGTCTGCAACAATTGTTCTGCATAAAACTCAAACAACGTATGACCTTGTAGGTAAATACAATCAAACTTGAGTAAATTCGGTAACTGCAACTGGGAAGTCGAACGTGAGCGGAGGTCTACGAACGCCGACTGGCTGATTCTCGCCGCGCTAACCGCATTCGAAAAAAGTTCGAGATCCCAAAATTTCCAAAGCTTCGCAACTTCAACACCAACCAACATATATCTCCGAACCCGCCGACGCCATGGATATCGACGCAACAGAAACCAAGGTGCAGATTCGCCTTACGACACGTGATGCTAGCCTTCAGATTTCGGAGGAGCCGAACATCCTGTTAGTTCAGACATGTAAGTAGAACTATCGCAAGCCTACTCGCTTGTCGCGGCTTTGTGTTATCCGCTGCGATACATTCGCGCACACATTGTGAGCCGTCGCGACTATATCAACGTATTTCTATCGTCGCATCATCTTCGCCGCTTCTTTGATACCGTAGCTAACGCAAATGCGCCTCTAGCCCTTACACGACACAAGCTTTCAACACTTGTGAACGAACTTTTACATCGCGATGACGACAGTCGCATACCGTTCGACATCTTGATCAATGGCGAGTTTCTCCGGACCACAATCGACGAGTTCCTCACGAAGAATGGTGTCAATGCCGAATCGACGCTGGACGTTGAATATACGAGGGCTTTGGTCCCACCACTGAATGTCACAAGCTTTGAGCATGACGATTGGGTTTCTGCTGTGGATGTTCTATCGGGGGTACAAAGTGGGCAAGAGAGAATATTGAGCGCGAGTTACGACGGGCTAGTAAGAGTGTGGAACACTTCAGGCGATGTTTTGGCGACTTCCGAGGCTCCCAACAACGGTGGTCGCATCACAAGCCTAAAGACGGCCAAGTGGCTGTCGGAGAAGAAGATGGTGGCTGCAGGTTTGGACAATACGGTCCGTGTCTACAAGTACGATGATGACGCGCGAACCATTACAACGGCTCTCGAGTTGTTCAATCATCGATGGGGTGTAGAAGACGTCGCGGTTCATGGCCCATCTAGCCGAATCCTTTCTGCTTCTTCGGATACCACTATTTCGCTCTTTTCGAGCAATGCAAAAGAGAACCCAGTCGCACCGCCAAACTTCCTGCCGAGCTCAAATGCTGCCTCCAACAAGCGACAAAAGCTCTCAAAGCCCGATCGCACGGTTCCCGCTCGTGGCGCTCTCGCTACGTTTAGCGGTCACAATTCACCGGTATCGAGTGTCATATTCAAGCCGGATGATGCCACAGTCGCATACTCAGCATCTCACGACCATACGCTCAAGACATGGGATCTGCCTACCCAGTCGTGCGTTGACACTCGAACGACTGGTCACTCGCTTCTTTCCCTCTGCGCGATTCCCTCCCGAAATCTACTTGCAACTGGTACCTCGGCACGACACATCACGTTGATCGACCCCCGCGCGTCAGCTACCCAGATCAGTGTCATGACGCTCCGCGGCCACAAGAACGGTGTTGTTTCTCTGGACACGGATCCTTCTTCTGAATACAATCTGTCTTCTGCTTCGCACGACGGCACAGTTCAAATTTGGGACCTCAGGAACGTTAGTACAGGCGGACAGGTTGGAGAGGGAATGACTGGTGAAAGCGTGTACACTATTTACAGGCAAGGACGCGATGCTGCAAAGAGCCATGGTGAAGGTGCCAAGGTCTTCAGCGTACGGTGGGATCGTGCTGTGGGTATTGTGTCGGGTGGTGAGGATAAACGGGTGCAGATCAACCGCGCTCTTGGCTCATAAGGGTTGGAAGTCCTCGCCGGTGGAAGTGCCGTTACAAGGGTGTTCAGGCGCATATCGTAGATACCATTCTGGCCAGGGAAAAGTGTAGCTTCAATTCTTAAGCGCGTTGCCCTCTGTCAACTCTGACTTGCCTCTAGTGATACTTCTGCAGTAGAGACGAGTCGCACTGACTTCCATGCTCTTGTGAAAAACACTGTTTTTCTTATGTGTATAGAGATGATCAGACGGGTATCATATAGCAGCCTCGGCCGTCCAGCCGCATTCATGCCTCTCCCCACATGCCTCTCTGCTGATGCCCTGCGTGTGTAGCAGTGCCCATGGCCTCGTAGTCCTACACTCTGTGCTCAGCCCAGGCTTATCGTGGTAGACTGTTATTGCGCTCGCAAGCTCCAGCCTGAAAACTCAATTTCCACCACGCTCAACCGTCCAACCAAAAATCTCATGCACAACGTTCCAAGCTCACACCAGGTGTCCCGGTAACAGGAAGTTCGCGACGCCCTCCTTGACCGCATACTCATGCTCACATGCTCCACATACTAGCTTGCCCTCTTGTATACATGTCTCGAGTAATATCCTATGTAGATCCTTCGCTGTCTGGCTAGGCTCCTCTTCTACTTGTTCAGTTGCTGTTGCCGGTGTCGCCTCCGTGGTATCTAACGCAGAGGCAGAGGTAGAAGAAGGCTCGACAAGGTCGGCGGGTGTGGGTGCTGTTGGTGGAAGTTCAGGGAGACCGAGCTATAGTGTATATACATTAGCCTCTGTTTCGCAAGCCTTGCGGTCGTCGTTCTTTTAATTGTAGAACTTGAGGGTTTCGCATACCTCACTGCATATTCCCCTCAACTCATTCCACATCAACCTCGGCAAGATGTTTTTGAGAAAGGCTAGGTTGACGTCTGCTTCTACGATTTCGAGTTCGGCGTCGCGCGGGTGTAGGGGGAAGGATGCGGGGTTTGTTTTGCAGGTTTTTATGGCGCAGGTGAGGAAGTTCAAGGTGAGGAGCTTCATGTTGTGGCTTTCGATTATGGGTACCGGACTGTTTGAGGGTTGTATCGCTCTGAGCGTTTCGTGTACTGTGCTGGAGTGGAACTGGTTGGCGGGCAAGTTTTGGCCAGCGGGCTTTGCGACAAACAATTTTTGGCGCGAATCCCAAGGTCGGGTCATTGGTGGGGTAAACACGCTAATGCAGGGCTTAAGTTTATGCTTAAGTTCCTATCTGGATCGTCGTGTCGCTTTCCTATTGCTTCCATCCAACCTTTTTTATTGTCGTCATTCGTCTATACTGAAGACACACAAGATCGTATTTGGTTTGCGTGATAGCGATGGCAGTCTTTCTACCCACATTCTCTCCCTAGGACGGCGGCTTTCTCTATCCACAATACGACACCAATACCTAGCCTACCACTTCCCCACATCCTCCAACACTAAATCTGTTGCCCTCTCACTCAACAAAAATGTACTAACCGCCGGGAATGCCCCGGGACATCTGGGAAACGCACTGGCGTCTACAACACGCAATCCCCGAACTCCTCTAACTCTCAACCTCGTATCTAGTACAGCCAAAGGATCAGAGTCTGGCCCAACCTTATTCGTGCTTGTAGGGTGGTGACTGAAAGCCTGGTCTTGTATCCAGTCTTTGTCAATTTGCGTGTCTCGACAATAGCCTGTGTCAAGAATGTCTCCAGGTGGGCAAGGTGGAGAAACAGAGATTACAGGACCAACTGGTGCTTCGGTAGAAGCAAAGGCTCTACGCGCAAAAGCAACTGTGTCGAGCATGGCATTGAGATCTGTCTCTGCACCCTCGGCAAAATAGTTCAGATTCACTTCTGGTGTATCGATTGCGTTTGCTGACTGGATCTGTACGTAGCCGGCGGTATTTTGGGGGTGGATTTTAACTGTTGACCAGGAGAACGTGGAGGGAGGATAGGATGTACGGTTGAAAAATTCCGTGGGCATGAAACCGGCGAAAGCTCTGCCTGTGCCGGCGAACATAAGCACATCTCTTTCGCCTTCGACTGCGTGGGGCGTCTTGATGAGGAAGGCGTTTGAGTTTGAGTCACCTCGCGAGTAGGGCCCTTCCCCCTTGTACCAAACATCAAGACATGCTAAACACGTGCGTACGAAATCAACATTTGTCTCATGCGCAGTCCATACAAAAACACTTATGATCGCCTGGAGCACCGTATGTACATTGTGGAGCATCGGGATCAGGCGCTGCCGCCAAGCTGACCTGAGCGTTTCCGTAGACGGGTATCTCGTAATTGTCCTGGAGATTGCGTCCCACTCCTGGTAAGTCAGAGACTACGGGAATATCATATTTATCGAGGAGGGCTTTGGGCCCGATGCCAGAGAGTTGCAGAATCTGCGGGGAGTTGAAGGTACCGCCAGACACAATGACCTCTTTTCGAGCGAAAGCTTGATGTAGAGTGCCTGTGCTGGAAGCGTTGCGGCGCGGATCGGCCTTGTATACCGACTTGCCTTGAAGATATTCGACTCCAACTGCTCGCGGCTTCGTATCATTACCACTGCAGCTATCGAACAGCACCTTCGTGGTCAAAGACTCGAGTTGGAGATGCAGCGTCGCATTCGTCAGATTACGCGTTTCCAGAACACGATGGCGTGGACTGAAGCGCCTCCAGTTCGGTGTAACGTGATAAGGCAGTGACCATAAACCCTCTGACTGGTCACGCATTGGATCCAGGTAGTTACCGTCGCTAGTGAGATAGTCCAAAACCTTTTCTGGATCCTTTCCCACCAATCTCAAGCATGCTTCGAAGACCTTGAAGCGAAGTGTTGAAGCTGCATGAGTGGCACGATCGGCAATATTGGTCTGCAGCCAGCCTGTGAAGCCGTGGCCGGGAGTGTCTTTGTCAAGGTAGTTGTTGTGCTCAATCTTCTCAAAGTATTCACGCATCAGTTTGGCGCTATAGGGATATTAGCACCGTCTGCAATGATTAGGATTCTCAACAACTCACCTCCAAACACCATCTTCAATTCCTTTGTCAAAAAAATCCCAGTCGCTATCACTCGGCAGGAATGTCGCGGCGGCATTGATTATTGCACTTCCACCCAGCGTAGCCTAGACTCGGTAACTCAAGTCAGTGTATCTATCCTGCACGGGTTTCTCACGACATTACTTACACCCCTTGGGTAGAAAATACCCAACCTCTCAGCATTTACGTGTCCTTCAGCACTGGGATCTTTCCCAACCCAATCTATCAACGACATCAGCAATGAGTTCGTATGCGCTCTACACTCAAAACCAAACTCACACTCCCCATTCTCCAATCTCCAAACCAACAAATTATACCTTTTCAGCCTCTCTTCATCATCACCGTGCTTCACAAAAAAATGCCAGGCTACATTCGCGTTCGAGAAGTCATTCAAAGCAAGTACCTGAGTACGGATGTCGGATGAAGCATCAGATCCGGCTTCAATCAGCAGAACAGAGTAGCCAGCGCGAGCTAGATTTGAAGCGATAGTGCCGCCGCCCGGGTCGCTACCCGTGACGATGTAATCGTATGTGTTTGAGGAATTGGAGATAGAATGTGGTGAAACACAAGAAGCATGGTGAAGAGGAGAGGTTGAAGTTAGAGTGGAAAGCAGACCGAGCAGTGGAATTGCAGGGATTTTCATGATGGAGAACACATCAACTTTGATGATACATTTTGGAGGCGTCTAGGCACAGAGACCACTATTTGTAGTCTCTCAGACATTCGAAAGATCTCAACCCCTCCTCCTCTTTTCCCTTCCTTGGTGAGGTGCAAAGCATCCAGCGTGTTGGTTTTGTGAAGTTCGGCCCATACCTTTTACCCGGCATGAACGACTTTCCGAAACCGTCTTAGAAACAGGTCGAAAGTAGGGAGGCTAATTCCAATTGGCTACGAGGCTACAGGGCGTATGCAGGTCTTCAATCTGCCCCCGCACCCGAGTAGTGACGGTATCATGGCGCCGGGCGGCGTTTTTGACGTTCGGGGCATGGTTTGGCCAGGTGGATGTGGATCTCAAAACTGTGTTTGGACAATGTTTGGTAAATGCTTGATTGGTACAATGCAAGCTCGCTGTCGTGGACGGAGAGAATGCCATTCGGGATTGAAGCTGCTGGCCGTGAAGCAAGGCGTTGTCTGACTAACATCTTGTCAATCTACCGAATGCAGGCTCCGGTGGTTTAAGGTTTCGACAAGCGGTCTGGCCAATGTCCTTGGAACAATTCTTCCTGGTTCGTTGTCAACAAATTACTGTCGTGTCAGCAGCGACTATCTCCTCTTTCAGGTTATAGATCGTATAGTCTGACTGAAAGACACGGGATTGAAATCTGCCGATGCAGAGATGTGAACAAACAAGACTCGGCCCATAAAGCTACAGTTCATAGATCCTAGGGTTAATGGACTGATATAAATCTTGTTCGCATTATTTATCGTGTCGCTCCATCGCCGGTGGAATTGATCTCAAAGAGAACAAAGCTGCCATGCCGTCTCCAACTCAACAATATCGCCCCATATGCCTCCGGTTCATCCGACTAGAAGCTCTTCAACAGCTCCTGAAGCTGCGCATAGGTGTCGTCTGGGTTCTTGACCTTATGTCCGATAGTCCGCTCATCGCTGTAGATCTCCCAGTCATTTCCGCCCTCGTAAGCCTTGTCACCAAAGAAGTGGATCTTGTCGTAGACAACACCAGAGAGACCCTTCTCTGCCTCAATGTGGCGTAGGCAGTAGGTCTTGTCCCAGCCAGTCGGGAAGACGTCGAAGGAAATCTGACCACCAATGGAGTATGTAAGGCCGTAGTCAGGGAACGCTTCCTTGAGCTTCGCAACCATGGTTTCCCTGACCTTATGTTGGAGATCGTACTTTTGGTATTCGTTGCGCTCTTCAGTGGATGCGTTACGGCCGATAGGAGAGACGTTGATCATGCCGTTGCGGAATTCGATAAAGGTACCGCGCTTGATGGGGATGTCGAGGTCGGCGATGTAGTGGAGGATCCTACCAACCTACATCAGCAATACTCTGCAGCATTTTCAAGTCACATACCACTTGGCAAGGGCCTTGTATCTGTCTTCACCAATCCAGCCGATGAAGCTCTGGCTAGCCAGAACCTCGCCCATACGGATGGCCGTGAGACCGTTCTCGGCGAAGCAAAAGTCAAACAGCGAGGTGACATCCACGGGTCCTCCAAGTTGTTCTTGCTGTTTGACGAGGTTGGAACCGCCCACGAAGCCGATGGCGCACTTGTGACGGAGTTCTGAGAGCAATTGCAGCATCTGCGGGGTGACGAGCTGGCGCGGCTTTGTGAGTGTGTCGTCGACATCGAAGAGAAGAACAGTGTTCTTGACCGGACGCTGGTCAAGCGGAGGGTAGACAGCAGCTGCGGCGGCCATGGTGCAGATGTTGTTTTGTGGTCGTAGAGTGAGCTATGATGGGGCAGCTGTGCAAACAAAAGACAGTCAATTGGAGTAACCCGAGAACAGCAGTTGTTCGCAGGTGCAGCAGGAGAGTATATGTCTTGGAGGGGTCCCTGCAGGGATGGCTGATCCTCACCGCAGTTTCGCGTTGGCACGCGCGTGGGGTTGAGCTAGCGGTGCCTGGACCCTGACTTAGTTTGGTACCTGAACGCGTACGACTTCAAGGCAATATGGACACGTCTTCACTAAATCTCAACATTTGCGTCACATTAGCATCCTGTTCTATCTGTATCGACACTGTGTCCACTTGGACGCTGTTCAGTCATCAACGCGCAACGCTGAGCCACCTTGTGTTGACAGAAGCGGAATGGCTTCCGCTCAAGCGCGTGTCAGAATCTCTACATGCAAGTGGACACTACATGAATACGAAGAGAACACATAGTGCTGAACAAGCCATACATGCCTTATGGACATGCATGTTCTCTTCATGTTGATTGAATTCTAAGAATAGGTATTCCATTGCATAGCTCGTGTTACTCATTCCAGCGCATCGACTTCCTCTGCTAGCGCCCTCCATCGTCCCTTTCGCACCCCGGAAGGCATCACCATCAATACGTCTCTGAGGGACTCTTGCTCGTATTCGAGCCGCTCCAACGTAACTGCCTGCAAGATATAGCTTGCGACCGTATTACTTGAGAGCGGCGGATCTCGCAAAATTTGGGTCATCCTATCAATCGAAAGCTTCTGGTAATACCACATATGATAAGCGCGAAGGTGCGTCACGGTTGCACGTATACGCGAGGGTGCTGTCGAGGAAGGCGATGGGATGGTAAGTTGAAGATGCTCTTGTGCCCATGTTGTCGCCAAGTTGTATTCGGGTGTTCGTGATGGCTCGTCCAGGAGACCAATGTCCGGTTGTGGTGTTGGGATAGGCCCGTTAGGTTCGTGAAGGTCAGGGGAAATTTGCTCCAATGCTAGGCCGTTCGCATCTTCTGTCAACCTTCCACTGTCATCTAGAGTCATACGTCTGAGTGCATCTTCAAGTTCTGGGTCTGCAAACTCATCATCATCAGCTTTTTGCCTCTGAAAGGAAACACCCTTGTCTTGACCCTCTAGCCGCACACCAACATCTTCTTTAGACAGTGCAGAGGATAGTGTCTCTGTGTCTTCCTCTTGTGATGTCTCAGGCAGTTCAGGGTATCCAAAATTAGTATGGTCGAGCCGGGAGAGGTTCACTCGACCAACCCGCTTTTCAGGAGGAATTATGCTTTCAGCCCCCATTCTCTCCGTCTTTTCTAGATTACTGCTCCGGGTGGATTGGGACACGTGGGTCTTATCCGCGCCACCTGCAGAGACAATTGTCGATGTTGCATACAGTAATTCTTCGAGTTGATGGCTGTCAGCAAATTCCTCTGTCGCTGTCTCGTACCCTTCGGTGTCTCCTTCGTCTTCTTGTTGGTCTTCAGCCACATCAACTGCGGACTTTACAGTTGTGTCTGCTACGTTCTTCGACTTCTTGATTCTCTTGCGGGATTCCTTGGGCCTTGGTGAAGGCTTGTTATCAAAATCGCAAAGAGCTACTGGAGGAGGGGCCGGCTTCATCCGTGTCCTTTTCCATTCGAGCATATAATACAGGCGAAATCCAGCATACGCGTCAGCAGCTGCGTAGTGTATCTGCTGCACATCTAAAGGAAGACTCCAGTCACTTTCCCGAACGCTAGGTGTTGTTTCGGAGTCGTCGGCTAACTGCTCGCCTTTATACAAGGGCAGCTGCAGATGCTGCAGCACTTGGGAAGCGAGGTTCACAACCCTCTTTGAGACTTTGCTAGGCTCTACCCCGTACCACTCAACTAGGTTATGCAAGCGGCTCAGCTCGAAAACCCCCTGAGGCTGAACATTGAGGTACTTCTCTAGGCGCTTGAAGTCGCCCTTGATAGACACACCTACTTTGTAGATGTCTGGTGATTCGAGGACAGCCTTCAGGCTAGGAGGCATTAGTTGCTCCGCTTTGCTTCCTGAGAAAAGCGACACATGAAAGAGTGCGATTCGATCTTCGCAAGCCAGCTGAATCAATGAAGCATTCTGCTTAATCGAATATGGATTTCCACGAGGCTTCCATTCAATGTCGAAGCCAACTATCTTCTCTTGTAAAAAATACTTAGCCACCCTTTCAGCAACATCGAAAGACTTGCAGTAATGGGTGGAGAGAGATTCGCCATCAGGTCCTTGATAGAGTTTGGCACTCCAATAACTGTCCCGTGTGTTGGGAGCGGCAAGCATAGCAGCACGCAACCTTTCCTCTGGGATCTGATATGTGAGGGAAACGTGTTCATCTGCATTGTCTTCTTCGTCGTCCGTGGATTCGGTCTCGGTCTCGGGCTGAGATGAAACACCGCTAGAATCGTCACTCTCTGAAGTGCCCTCTACAGCAACTCCCTCGGTGTGTCCGGTAGCATCGTTTGCTTCGTTTCGAGTGTTCGGAGAGGACTCGTCAGTGCGAATCGTTGCAGCTGATTCATCTATACGTGAAGACACGGTCTCGGCGGCTTCATGGATAGAGTCCGACTTAGACGCTTCGGCCACCGCTGTCGTCGCAAAACGTAGTCCATGAGCTGGATTCCATAGTCCCACCCGCTGGAATCGGTCAGCGCCTGGTGCTGGGGGAGTCTCAGCAGGTCGTACGTGTAGCGTAGCCGATGCTTGACTTTTGCAACGAGGGTCTTCGGCCATGGGTACTGCCTCTTTGGAAATAGACTGGCTCACTGAAGGTTGTGGTCCCGCAGCAGGGGTTTGATGGAGTCTTCTAGGACAGTTGTCGCGTCTGGTGGCAGGCCGTCCTCGCTTCCAGCAGCAGGTCGAGGCGGGTGGAGTAGCAGACGTTGAGCGTAGTGAAGTGGTGTGCATTGCCCTGCACTCTCCAATACGCAACGTATGCGTGGCGAATGTATGGCGCTTTACAGAGGGTAGGGTGTTGACGGATGTCTCATGGCAAACACGCCGCGGGGCATCTGACGCGCTCAGCAGAGAGGCGCGTCGACGGAAGAGCATAACACTCCATGGTAGTGCTCTCACTAGGCGCTGACAGGAGAGGATAGTCGTCACGGATGCGAGTTGATCGTGTGTGGACAAGATGTTTGCTGCCTGTTGCTTCGCAAGCACTGGTTGGCTAGCGTGTCGCCTGTGAAAGATGGTCTTGAACGCCAAGATATCGAAACCAATCACCACCTTGGTCTTACCTGCACCTCAAACACGACCTCTATATTCAACGTCCGATACTCAGCTCACGAAAAAACACGCCACCATGTCGCTCGAGAACCTCCTTCCGCTAGGTAGGCCTTGATCGCAAGCGAGTATCGGCTCTCGACTAACCTCTGTAGAACTCATCGACAAATGTGTAGGTTCGCAGATTTGGGTCATTATGAACGGAGGGAAAGAATTCACCGGGAAGCTGGTTGGGTTCGATGACTACGTCAGTAAGTGAGGTTGAGTGAGACAACGTGGACGGGACTACTCTAACAAGAACAGACATGGTCTTGGAGAACGTGACGGAGATGTGCGTAGCTTCCAAGGTTCTTTCATGTTCGACACGGACAAGTGCGACTGACACGACGGCAGTGACCCGGCAGAGGGAAATGTGCAGCTGCCCAAAATTCTATTGAACGGCAACAACATCTGCATGGTATGGGACGCCCTGTCTAGTTTGTGCGCCAGTACTGACATTACCAGATGGTGCCCGGAGGAGATGGGCAGACAGTTCTGGAGGACGAGTAGGGCCGATGCGAGCCAACAAATGCAGCATCGTATGATTTCAAACCACATTGCGACGACGACACGGCCAGCAGTGCGGTTGGTGCGCCTAGCCCGGCATTGTCTGCTGCCGAGGTTGGACAGGTCACGAGGCAACGTCGATGAAAAGGCTGACGAGCCGTAGGACGCGATGCTCACGCTGGGGTAGATTCAAGGCGGTTGTAATGACGCCCAAGGGTCCAGTATGCCATCACCATGGAGCTTCAGATGAGACATAGCGCAATGTATTCATGGATATGCGGCCGTCTGTCATACTCACGTGCGTGCTCTAGCCAAGGACGGCGTTGCTTCAAGAGGAAATGAGCAACGCAACGTTCCGCTCCGCTGGTGATGTTGAGTTGGGCGGAAGTGGGCGTGCCCAGATGTCCTTTCCCGCCCCTTGCAGCGCGTTGATCAGCCACGGCCAGGTCAGGGTCAGGGTCATGGCGAGGGCGACAGGTGACGGGTGCAGTGAGTGCAATCAAGCAGAGAAGACGACGTGCAACAGCGTGAACCACAAGGCGTCGTCGCGTGTTGACGCATGGGAATGTTAATCGCCGATGCAGCCCGTTTTAGGGCTTTTCGGGGGTTTGTTGTTCGTTCGCACACGACGCCGCCATCTGCGTCGCATCGCAGATCGAGTTTCTGGTGTTCGCTTAGTTGGAGGAAAAAGGCCATGGATGACGAAACGCAGATGCGTTTGTGTCAGCTCAACGTCACTTTCTCCATGGACATGCTAGCCAGGGCTGGTGGACGAGGGGCTACGAAATTGCAATTACGGAGCACCGTCAGCGCAGGCAGCATGCATGGCAAACTGGGACATCGCCGGCTCGTGTGAACCGGCCCTACTGTAGGTACCGGCGTTTCGTCGATCGTGCCTTTGTCTGAGATGTTCTGTAGACTTGACAGCATCACCCGCCGCCCGCACGCCCTCGCAGCCTATCAGTCGGCGTCATATCCAGGAAGAGATTCCGCATCAGTCTGCTCCCCGTGCGGATGAGGTGGCTGGAGCGTTCCCTCGCACCCTTGATCGTCCCCTGTTCGCGCTCGCTGGCCGTCCATTGCGTCGATCGCCTGCTCTGATCTCGAGAGCCCTGGGCCGGGCCCTTAGGAGGTATTGCTGCACAGTCACACATTATTTTCCTGCTTCCTTTGCTCCCGTCTTTACCACCACCACCACCTCCTCCTCCAACATCATCGTCACGACTCCCGCTGCCGCCTTCACGCCCACTCGCTCTGACTCGTCTTCTGCGCCAATTGACACGCCCGCCATGATTGCGCCGAATCCTACCCACTACTAGTCCAGTCCCTTCTCCCTAGGTCTGCACCTGCACCGCCCTCACCCGGAACTGCCTACTCTCACCGCAACCCAGTCCTCGTGCGACTCTGCTCAGCGCGCAGCACCGCTTGGGACGCGCCAAATGAGCTCCGGCCGCTTGCTGACTCTCGACGGCCGTTGTCCTGGTCGCGCCTCCACTAGGCTGCGTCCGCTGTCTTTACTGCTACAATAGCCGAGACTCTCCCTGCCCCTACCACAGCATAATCACAGAATTCTGCTGATCGGTCCGGGACCCACCTACCCCAAACCCAACGTTAGGCGCCACCACTTATGGATGCATCTTAGTCGTTGACTACTCCTTCAACTTGCTCTTCTCTGCGCCCTGCGCCCTGTAACACTTTGACCCTTACGCGGATTTTCGTTACGAGTCGATCCGCCACACTCGTCGTGCCGCACCAATCATATCGCCTGGGCCACGACGCGACCATTTCCTATTTTATCCCTGTACACTAGTCTCGCCATACTCGAGTCCTATCGATCACGCTCGATCCCAACCCATTGCCACTAGTGCTCTAATAATTCCAGACATATCGAATCCTCGACGACCAGCCTATTTCGAGAGTTGGTCGCTACACCACACCACCCCAGCGGTTGCGCTCACGCCCTCCTACATGAGCGACCTGAGAGAACGCCTCGCGCGATTGGGACTGTCCCAATACCACGAAGTGTTCACGGCCGAAGGCTTCGACACATGGGAGACTGTGCTCGACATAACAGAATCCGACTTGTGCGTGCATACCCCACCCGTACCTGGAGACATCTGTGCTCACTCTTGTATAGAAGTTCCCTAAACGTCAAGCTTGGACATCGTAGAGTAGGTCACTTTCCTTTGCCTGAAGCCTTACCAATAACTAAGTTCCTGTAGAAACTTCAACGGGCCATCGCCGAATCGCGCGGACAGTCTTCTGATCGGCCCTTACCCATCAGTCTTGCACGAGCTGGAAGCACTGCCGGCTCATACCGCAGTGACGACTCAGGGCCAGAGGCCAAAGCCAAGCAGCCAGACTCTACCAACACTGCGCCCGGTGGCACAGGCGCAAAGCGAAAGTACCGGCGACACCCAAAGGTAGCTCATATATCAACTTCTGCCATGTCCTGCAACCTTGCTAACTTGGCATAGCCTGACGAACATGCCCCGGAACGCCCACCATCGGCTTACGTCATCTTTTCAAACCGTAAGTTTTGCCTTGGTGCACTGTGAAATCAACTAACTCGTAGCAGAGGTGCGAGAGTCACTGAAGGGACAGGATCTGTCCTTCACCGAGATTGCCAAGGTGGTCGGTGAAAAATGGCAGGTCTTGCCCGCCGAGGAACGCGAAGGCTGCGAACGACAAGCCAATGGTGCAAAAGAGAAGTACTATGCGGAACTGGCCGAGTACAAGAAGACGCCAAACTACGAGGCTTACCAGAAGTACCTTGAAGACTTTAAGGCGAAGCACTCGGTGCCTACTAAAGGTCTGTTTACAATTTCTATTTAACTCTCCCGCAAGTTATTGACACGTGCAGAAGGCAAACGTTCGAAACTGGAGTCCGAAACCAGTACTTCAACACGAGGAGGCAGCTACGAACAGAACGACCAAGCCACAAATCGAGCATTAAGTACTATCCAGTCAGATGCCCAAACAACACCGCAGCAGAAGTCGGATCCTATCCCGCTCATTGGCTCTTCACGACTTCCAGCTGGTCCAGTCTATTCCTCAACTTCGACGTCGCCGGCCAACCGCCCCCTTTCTGGTTTTACCTCTCCGCGCTCAGGCGAACAGTTCTCCCCCACTTCTGCCTCTCCACGGAACACTGGCATGCAAAGAGATGGTGCTTTTGATTCATCAGCACCCAACCCCATTCGGGATCCAAGAATTCCTTTTGATGCCAACCCATATCATCAACCTTCTGCGTACAATCTGGATCTCCACCAGAAAATTGCATCCACACCACCGCCTTCATATCCTCACTCAGCTCACTACCAGGCGCCCATCGACCTGCTTTCTCGTAGGACTCCGCGGGAATCCGCGCGTCTTCCCCCTCTCAGCCACGAAGACACGACACTATCATCCGAGAGTGGTCATAGCACGCAAGGATCCACAGGGTATCCTATGACAGTTTACCCTGGGCATACATTACCTGCAGACCCGAGCAAAACGATGCGCATGCTTCCCCAACCGGTGCCTAGTATGGGATCATCAGCTTCTCCATTGGACCGGCCGATGCCACCGATACCTTCGTCCCACCTCTCACATAATTCCCACGATTATCGAAACCAGGGATCACTCGCCGTCCTTGTAAGAGCAGGAGAAATAGCATCAAGAGCAGCAGATGATGACGTGATGGAAACCGAAGGTTCGCCTTGATTTTTTGAATTTATACCAATGTTACAGTACACGATATGGTAGGAGCATTCCACATGGCTCGTTCCAGTGGACAGCATGTGCTACATGCGAGCAGCTGTATTGCTGGACAACCTCAGTAAAGCCACGTTTGGCATGCGTGTATCGCACATCAGCCCAGTAAGCATATGCGGAGACGCTTTACGTTTTCATATGTTATTTGCCATTTCGAGATGATACCCCAAACGCAATCAGTCGACCTTTCGATTACCACGTGATTATACCGAGGACGGATCCCTACCTGACAGAATGAGGGGTTGGAGTTGGATGATGGACCCTTCTAGATGCGCAAAGCCTGCGCCGTTTGAATGGATGTTGTTTGCATGCAGGAGACCTGCCATTTCGGAGTAGAGGTATGGGAAGCTTAGTTCCCGTGGGATATTCCGTGAGAATACACGAAACTGCTGCATGGCGAGCATGTGGGCAGTTGCAGGAGCACGCGGAGTTTGTACATAGGAAATCTAGATCTTTTCGCTTGAACAACACTATGTGCTTGACTATTTCTCTCGTACAAATGGGGCCTGGAAAGTTGGCAACGGCGATGGTCTGGACCCTTCCACCAGCTTCGTTGTATAGTGTGGCAGGCAGTCAGCCTCGTTTGAATCGACATGACCACAAATCGTACGAGGCGATCTCGATGCTTGCCCAAGGCGGGTTCAATGGCGCCTAACGGAGAGCATGCATCCGAGATGTAAATAACTTGCCACTGTAGTGAAAGCCATGCTAGCAGCTAGGGCGGACTTATTTCATTCGGCCGTCCCGAGCAACATGGAGCTTACGCGCTTGGCATAGCGTGCTGAGTGGATTTTGAGAGATTTATCCATGTCCACCAACATCGAAGATTTGGCATGCTGATCCAGCACCACATGGCAGGGATTTCAATCGATAATCAGTATCACGTGACAGGTGAGTCCACGCCGCTCAACAATGTCTATGGTCAGCGTTATGTATCGGGCCCGCGCTTGCCGATCGACAGCACGTTCAAAGGAATAGAGCGAACGGGTCCACCCACACCTGAAAGCTCCCGACATAGCAAGCAAAGACGCCCCAATTTTTAAACTGACAACATAGTAGCAATAGCCTTTGTCGATTTTAATCTTCAGCGCGCTCGGATTCCGGATGCACTACGAGAGCCCTTGTCTACCTACCGCGGACAGTGGCTTATATCGCCCGCGGGCTCGTTCACATTCCGCGTGAAAAGAGGGATATTATCGCAAGACTTCACTATGACAAAAACAGCTGATTTTGTGTTGTCGCCTGATTCAAGCATCGGCATGCAGCTTATGGTAGTAGATTTGGCACTTCGGCATGTCGTTTGAATGGGCAAATGCAAGGATATATGCATTATGCAGGTGCTGTGGAGTGCCCAAGTCGCAGTCCACTGCCTGCTGCTAGTGAGAGTTAGTCGAGACCACAATTGTGCCAGACGTTCGGTACGAGAATCCTGCCATTGCCGGGTGGGGATAGCGAGCGAGGGTCCTGCAGACATTGGCTGTGAGCTCCGAGGAGCAATTGTGTTATCAGTTTGACGCCCGCGGAATGTAAGTACTGACAGCAGGACGATCTCGGGACTAGACAATCGGCTTTTCTGACTCGGCATTCAAAAGTAAATATCGGCCCGCATTTGCGTGTTCTCTATATGACCCAATGGTGATGGAGTTGATACATCAGAATGGCACCTACAGATCTGTTGCTTAATTCTACACGCACACCCTGTACTTAAGTATGCTAGGCACCTGTGGCAGTCTCACGTATATTTTAGGCCTTCCTAATTCATGGACCAATTCCGCTTTAACGCATGTTGAGTGAGTCTTGTGACACTACCTGTTTGTTACTCAATACGCTTCCAAGGAATTATTAGCGAACGGTATTGCATTGCTTAAGCCGCATACTTTGCCATTTTCATTACAAGGGGTATCTGCAACCTTCGGTGAATGAAGAGCGTAGTCCTGGGATGAAGAATATTATTTATGTCATGTCGCTAGAGCACAGCAAAGAGTAGAGCCTATGACGCGCTTGCTAGGTAGCTTGCCTGCCAACTAAGTATTGTACCTAGTATCTCCATGCCAAAGACTTGTAAATCTCAGAACGCGAAACCCAATACGTACTATCGTTGCAGGTTGCCTACAAGACAGTATTTATGTTCCATCTAGGTAGCATGTAGTTCAAAGCGAACACTGGCTGCTTTCCAGCTAGCACATCGTAGCGTCACACAAACAGGCACGAGCCAATCAGGGGCACTTGTACTTGTCGATCTTCCGTATCAGTGTTACAACTTCGTCCTCTATCGTCGCGTTTTCCATCAAGCCTCTGCTTGGCATCTACCAATCGCCTCTACAACACATACAATACTTCCTCTATATACAGTCTGTGCAGTTCCAGTCCGTTCTAGATCATCGCAGCACATGCGCAGGTGGTGTGTTACCTATTAGTCACCACGCTCGCGTTACACACTATTCGCGCCTGCCGCCACATACAGTCCCTGTGCGAACTTGTGGCTCATCTAGTCATGTACGTAAGAAAATGGCTCAAGTGTGATGGGTTGCAGCTGATCTATATGCTGGTAGCCGCAACGATTACCTGCTGTACTAGACGATTCTTTGCATCTCAGCGGTCTAGGCCTTCAACGCGCTTGTCCTGTCACCTGACAAACGACTGCAGCAGATCTATGTTAACGGCCTGCTATATTCTGCTGCATATTTCCAAGACCTCCGCTCCGCTAGAAGGATGGCACAATCTGTCGATGCAAGGAATCCTGTCCAACCCGAAACACTACGATCCCAGTACAATGCCGGGCAAGATGCTGATGCTAATTCCATGCATGGTGACACTACGGTCATCACCACAGCGACGCCAAAACGTCAATATCTCAACCTGAATCCTCTGAAGAAGCTCGATTTGCCCCATCATCAGGCATACAACAACGCTGCTTCAGATCATAATGTAAGCTTAGTGCACTTTCTCGACAGCCTCTTTAGCGAAGTACGAAGAATTCAATTCGATGAAGGTTTTGATAACCGCGGGACCTGGAGCCCCGACAGTGGAAATGTAATGATGCCTCCATTGAACGCTACGGAGCGCAACGATGAGATTCCTGTACCAGTCTCGGTCGAGAAGCGCATCAAAGACTTGAACCAAGCCAAATGGGCAGTCAGGACTTCTACTCATAGCAATACCCATGTCAAGTTTTCCGAGTTGGGAGACCTGCTGGCAAAAGACCACAGTCGCAATGAAGCTACCTATACGCCGAGCGTTTTCGACGCCATCGAACTTTTGAAGTGGGACCACGAAGAACTATTAAAAGCTGTACAGCGCTCAGGTCACCATGAGGAAATTCACAGTGTAGAAATGTTTAGTAAGTCTCTCATTTAGAGAGGTATGCGTCTGTCCAGACTGTTGCTGAAGTGTCTTAGTATCTCAAATGTTCCATATGATGCCCAAGGTCGCTGGTCTTAGCTTACTACAAGACCGTGTATTCCATGTGTTGGTCGTCACAGCAAACACATACCAGAAGGAGGCTCCTTCTGAGCTCTACAAATCATTCACCGTTCAGCTTCCGATTGATTATGCATCATTCGGCGATGTCAAGATCGTACAAGAGACGAGTCGAATGAAGATGGGAGGTTCTTCCCAATGCTACCATTTCCCTTCCAGCGCGGAGTCTGGATCAGCACCTGATGCAAACCAGAAGCAGCGACAGGGGAAGAAGCTGACAGAGGGCACCTACGTCTCATTGGAAAGGCTCATTGGAGCAGACTCTGCGAACAACGACCGTCATCGTTGGGATATGGTAGGCCTCGTGTTTCAGGCGCTAGTGGACGTATGTTGACGTGACGCAGATGACGTTGAGTACGGCGGGAGGCATGACACGTAAGGCTCCGAAAGGTGTCCAACAAAAAGAAACACTGGAAGCGATTGCGATGGACGTGGAGTATGTCCTTGCGCATATTGCAGATCAGAGACGCAGAAGTAGGATTTGAACGTAAAGGCAGCTGCTTTGGTTTACGAGTCTACTGTGGTTTGATCTTATCTCGAGAATTCACTCGATTTGACCTTTTGGTGTGCAACGACGATGTTGAGAAGAAAGCGAGTTGGTTTTGCTAAGATAAGGGCCAAGACAGGAGGAAGCCAGACAACGGGAAGCGGGGACGAGAGCACATGCAGATCACCGCGTGGCTGTGACACCACTCCACTTCCTGCACACCTGGACTCGAGCATTCAGCCTTGTGCCGTGTAGGCGAAGCACAGCTTGACGCATTTCGGTATAGCCTTCTTGTACTTACTATCTACATCAATGCCATACGATTGATCTCAATTCGCTTCGTGATCCAACTCTAGCACCTGCCGTACATGTGCATACCACACTTCTGGGGAGCCTATTAATACACACAGGCACTTCAGCTCGTATCTCGAGAGCACGCGCCCAACCAAGACCATCTGCCACGCCTTGCGACACACATAGACCAGGCAGGTAGCGCGAGGAGACAGCATTCGCGATGCAGAACTACGGGCAAGCCCCAAGCTTCACCGGACAGGCTGGCCCTCCACCAGTGCCACCGCCGCCCCCTGGATATGGAGGTATGTCTGTTCAGCATCGGGCATATCTACGTAGCGAGGCGCTGACATGAAGGCAAAGCTTCTCAGGGTTACCAAGCATCCGCTCCTCAAGCCCACGGTCAATGGGCTGCGCCGACGCCAACACATACATCAGGCCCATGGAATCAAGCGCGACAACAAGGGACGGAAGGATACAACCCAGGCACATATGGCACTATGCCAGGGGCGCAGCATCATTCACACCAACCCCCGCCTCAGCAGGACCAGCCCCCTCCGCCTCCGCCGAAACCCTATGGCTTCGCAGCGGCAGTCCAACGGCAAGAGCAACAGCAGCAGAGCACGCAGAATTGGTCGCAACATTCGCAACAGACCACCGGGTACGCTCCTCATGCGCAACAGGGAGGGTATCCAGTGCAGGGGGCGCCACAACACCCCTATCATCAAGCAGCTCCTCCTCCAGTAGCTCCAACATGGCAGCAGTCACAGCATGCGCCCCACCAGAGCGGCGCAAACAGCTTCACGCAATCTAGGCCAACTGTGGACACTGCTTTTTACTCACAAGGTTATCATACTACACAGCAGCAACAAGCACCACCTCTGCCTCCACGGCATAGCCTACAGAGCCTGCAACATTCAGAACACCACCAAGCTCAGTACGGATATCCAACGCTTGATCAATACCCACCACCATCGCAGACACCTCACCAGTTGCAGCAATCGGCAGGCCAATACCCGCAGCAGCAGCAACATCAACACCAAGGTCATTTCGGGAGTGTGGTACCAGCTCAGCAACAGCCAGTCGGACAACCAGTATATCCACAAGCACAACCGTATCAACAGCCCGTACAGCAACAACACGGATATTCACTGTATGAACAGCACGGTCAGCCCCCTTCACAAGACTCGCACTTCCAGAGACCGTGGCAGCCTGCGTCTCCAGCGCCTGGGCCCAATTATCAACACAATATAGCACAGACGTATGAGCCGCACCAGCAGCCCTCGCAATCAGGAAATCAGACACAAAGTTCTTTCTCGGGACAGCAGTACTCTCAGACAACAAACCAAGAGGTTCGAGAACCAAAGCCATTCAATCGAATTGGTACCGCTACGTCTAATTTCTACCATCAGCCAAGCCCACCGAGTCAACCCGTGTCTCCGATATCGAATCGTCCGAGTGTAAGCTCCGCGTCTGGTTACCAGCCCGTGTCTGGTCGCACTGACTCCGTGAGCTCCATAGCTCTTGCCAATCTCTACGCACAGCGAGCAGACAATAGGACATCCTCGCCAAACCCTCCTGCATCCAGACTACCTATACCACCTCCACCCCGTGATGACAAGTCGAGGTTTAGTGTGCTAGCTGCTGGAGCGCCTTCTGATTGGGAACACTTGGGTGGCAGTGAGGAAATCGACGACGAAGAACTCTTCGGAGTAAAGAGAGAGGAAAAGAAAAACGAGACTATCCAACCAGAAAGCGTTGAGCTGCCTGCCCACGGTCCATCTGCTCCCTCCACACATGGATTTCCCAGTCCCGCAGTACGTCCCGCACACGTGAGTTCGAGCGAGTGGGACGAAGGTTACACACCCACACCGCCATCTGTAACAAGTCTTGCTGAGCGACAAGGATCGCCGTCGCCCAACCAAGGGTTCGCAGTAGAAGATGCCATCGTAGCGCCCTTGAGAACTACACCAAAACCTATGCATGGTACGAAGCCTCCTCATCAACCTGCTGTGCTCGTAACAGAGTCTGCCATAACCGAAGGCGGATGGAATCCATCACAACACACCCCGACACAACCAAAGCATCATTTCAACTCACAGAGTAACAATGAATTTCAAGATGCAGAGATCCCCAGTCATGATTATGCTGTGAAGTTGAAAGAGAAGGATAACCTTCTCCATCAGCTGCGCGCAGATGCAGAACGGGAAAGTGCTGAACTACACGCGAGGATTGAGGCACTACAAGCTGAGAATCAGAAACTTTCATCTGAGTATCAAGCCAACAAGACGCACAGTACGAGCGAGATGATCGTCTTACGTGCGCAAATTGAGACTATGAGAACAGCAGCAGATCAGGCCACTGCCAATTCCGAGGCTTTAGTGAAGGAAAAGAACATGACAATTGAAAGACTGCAAGAAGATGTGGAAGGCAAAGAACACAATATCGAGGAACGTGACAATGTTGTCGCTGAGCTAAAACGCCAACTTGAAGCCGAAAATCTGAGAGAGTTGCCGAAACCCACCCCTTCTGATCTTATCTCGGATATCGACCCATGGTACGTTGGCTCATTAGAGCGATACATAGCTATGCTTCGTAGTGAGGCAACAGCACCACTAGTTGAAGAGAAGATGAAGATTTTCAGAGCGTTCATGAAGGTAGAGTCTAGCATGCGGGCAATCAAATTTTTTGACGCCTCAACGCAAACGCTTCCAGTAGTGCCAGAGGTGCCGCACGAGACAGATCAAGTTGCGCGCTCTCGTGCAGCTTCAGACGTGTCCACCAGAAGGCAGGACCTGAACATACAAGTTCCGCACAGGTCTGCATATGAAGACGACTATGAATATAGTCCTGGTGGAAGGCCTATTCTGGCACGACAGAGTACGATACCGATTATTGAGAATTACCAGGGTGCTCCAAAGGCACCTCCTTCGGTAGTATCAACAACAATCCTAACCCCGACAAGCTCTATTGACGACGACACGAACAAAACGCCAGTACAGTCGTTGCCCGAAGAGCAGATGCAACCTCAATACAAGGCATACGTTCCTCCTGCTAGCATATCTGTCGACCCTCCTCAGCTGAGGCACAGACAAACGATGTCTTTCTCTAATACTCCAGTTGTGGCTTCACCGTCAGGGCGTAGGAGCAGCAAGGGACATGATGAGATCTTCTTTGAAGCTCATCGAGCGACTGCGCAGACGCCTGCTGCTCAACCGTCCAGTAGCGAAGCAGATGTTCCTTTGCCCGCGCCATTGACGCTAACTCCACGTCGCCCAACATCCACCGCTGCACCATCGAAAGAAGATCCCAATCAAGTTCTCAAAAGACTGTTGTCGAAGCGAATCGATTCGGACCTTCCAAACCGCCGGATACAGGACCTTAGAGCTAAGCTAGCAGATGTTGGATCGAAATCCAGCAAGGTCGAAGAGCTTACCAAGACGTGGGAGAAGTCGGCATCTCTAAGCCGCCGCAAAAAGGACGACGCTCGTCGCAAGCGCCAAGAAGAGAATGAGGAGCACAATGACGATTTATTCAACAGCAATGAGATTTCTTATGCAGAGATGAACCAGCTCGAAGAAGAGTTCAAGCAGAAAGAAGCAGAGCTCAAAGCACAAGAAGACAGAGACGAATATCAGAGCTATGTCGACGCCGTATTCGACCCGGTCTTCACTGGCCTACATGGTGAGATCAAGACCCTCATGGATCTGTATGTCGAAGCCAAGCAGCTACTGCATTCCTCTGTACATGGACTCAGGAGTCTAGAGGGAACAGATGATCCAAGCACGAAAGATTGCTTGGAACTGCTGAGGGATGTCCACGAACAGATCGAGAAGAGACATGACAGCGTTGCTCAGCTCGTTGCAGAGCGCGACAAACGCTATAAAAAGACTGAGACGCAACCTTTGTACGCCGCTGGCAACATCAGCCAGATGAAAATCGTAGAGAAGCACTTTGAGAACGCTGAGAAACAAGCCATATTTGGAGTTAAGCGCGAGAAGGCTGAGCGTGTAAGCGAGCTTGTCCGAATTATTGGGGAGATCGTCGTCGATGCAGTGAGCGATGAGCAAAAAGAAATCGACTACGTCATTGAAGCTATCAAAGATCTCAAGGACGGTACTGGCGACCCGGAGGTCCTTTCTCAGGCACAATCGACTCTCAAAGCCCTGAAAAGGTCATCCAAGGCTCTTCTCTCCTTCTTCAATATGCTGGAGATTGAATCTAACAATGCCGACATAGATGCCGAAATTGCACAAGTGAAAGCTGATAAGGCGGACGCAGAACGTATAGGGGAATTGGAGGCTGAGAAAAAAGAAGCTAGGAAGGAGTTAGTGGAGGAATTCGAAAGGAGAATTCGTGTGCTAGACAGCAATGAGGGCGAGATTGCGGAGTTGGCGCGAAAAAAGATGAGGAAGAGTGGTGAGGACGCGGAGAAGGAAGAGCGGCTACGAACCGCATTAGAAGAAGCGAAAAGGCGAAATGGACATGCCTGATGATATGACCGCGTGTTTTTACGAAGCGTAATATTTCTCCAGCAAATAACTAGTTCATGGATATCTAAAGGCCGAAATACACTCTGCAAATTGTCTCATTGTCCCCCAAAAGACGCTCGCATATTTAAAGTCCACTGTCCTTCCTCTCCCTTGTTGGTCTCTTTTCTTCTTTCTTCTCCGTCTTCTCAACATCCCCGTCCAAATGGGTCCTCCGATCAATATCCAACCTCTTCTGAAAATACTCGCCAACACCAAATTCATCATACCGTACACCCTCTTCCCTCAGATGCGGCACAACACTGACCTTTGCGTCTTCGTTCGGACTGAAAAAGAAAGGCATGCTATATCTCTCCTCGCCACCGATATTCCTTACTCTATGCACAGTACTCTGCCATGAACCCCCCGTGACCAACTTCAAGAAATCGGCAATGTTGACAACAAACGTGTTGGGCTGTGGGTGTACGGGGACCCAGATACCATTTCCGTTCAGCACTTCGAGGGCCGGGTAGGCGGTTTTGGACTGGCAGACGAGCGTGAACCAGCAAAAGTCTGTATGTGCGCCAATGCCCACGTCGCTCTGCCGTTCTTGAGGTGGGTAGTGAACAGCGCGCACGTTGGTCATGGGGTGCGTTGTTATGGTATCGAAGTAGTCTTCGGGGAGATCGAGAGCGAGTGCAAAGATGTGGAGCATGCGTTTGCTGAATTCGAACATAGCTTTGTAGTAGCGATAGATTGCGGGGCGCCAGAAGAGGGCTGAGGGGTGGGTGGGCCATTGGTTGCGTGAGGTTTGTGGAGAAGGGGGCAAGGAGGAGACGAGAGGTAATTGCTCTTCGTCTGTAAAGTCTTCCCCCATTAGAAAGCCTTCCTTGAGATCTAGATGCTGTTGTCAGAGAGACGAGCTGTTTGAGATAAGGCCAATAGAGACGTTACCTCCTCGTGTACTTGGATCAAGCTTTCCTTCGAGAAAAGCTTCGTAACCTCTGAACTTCTCGGTTTTTTGATTGTGAGTCTCCATCTTGACGTCTGTCGGTAGTGCAAAGTACTCCTTCAACGCATCGAATGTGCCCTCCAATATGTCATCATCCACTCCATGATTTACTGCATAAAAGAATCCAATATCTCGACACGCGGCGCCGACTTCTCTGGCCAGCTCTTTCCTATCATCAAGGTTGTCTGAGTATATGCGTTGAAAGTCGATCTTAGGTAGTTCGTTGAAAGTCTCTTTGGCATCGATGCCTTTGAGAACTGGTCTTCGACCAGGGACACCGCCATCGTGGTAGTGAACCCAGGTATCGACGTAGATCTCTGTCTCCATTTCCGTCGTAGTAGTTAACATGTTTTAGTGAGCGATGGCGAATCTGGTGTTCTACTAGTGCTGAGGGTCGAGTTTGTACACAACAACAAAGAATTGCAGAAAGCAGGCAAGTATATAGGGCCAGGAAGTCACACCGGCGGGACGTGCCGCAACCTTAACACATAAGCCGACACCCAGCCTGCCATGAGCCGAATGACAAGTTTAACTAACAAAAAGAAAACGGTCTGGAAGGCGAAGGCTGCGCAAAGATTCTCCCAGACCAATAGTGACAGACCACGTCGTGGAGTCAGGCGTAATTGTCGCAGCCTGAACGAACCACATTGCCTATGCAGATACGGTGTGGTGGAGTGGGTGTCATCATCCCTAAGATTTCCAAGACTCACGCTCTCGGACAAGAGCGCATGCTAGGTAGGTCTATTGCCGCTCACCAGGGTCACTTATCTATGAATGGACAGTGTGAAGCGGAAGAAGGCCTGGAGCTGGCATAGTACCGATGCTATGCATACAGAAGACCTCGGGAGTGTGGGTGGGTAAGGATGCTCTATGCGAACTGGCTTTTGTGCTGCGTGTTTTTCTGCCTCTTCCATATATGATATAACAATCCCAGGAATTCCATGATGAGTATTCTTGTCGACAATCTTTCCTCGTGTTCGGAGTATGCTGGCCGGTTTACGTCACTTTCTTACACCCCGCCAAAGCGCCTACCTCATGTGAGCTGCTGTAAGGCATCAGCTGCAGCCACAGCATAGCGATCGGACGACCCTCCATAATGGCAAGACCCTTACAGGTGATGTATGAGCGGCGGACTGCGTTGATAGCTTACCGAGCCATCGGGAACCGGAGTTGAGCGCGAGTGGAGTGGGTTGTTCTTATTCCACGTTTGCAGAGACGGCTCGTAGGTGCATATGCTGATCTCGGCAATTGGGTTCAGACGTTTTTCGCTGGAGATTACATGACGATGATTGAGAAGAATATATGGAGATTGTACGTGTGCCACACGCGGGTTTGCGAAGTCTTGATGTAACCACGAGAGGACGAGGACCCGCTGTGGGTGGATGTCGCGAATCCCCCCGCATGACGCTTGCTTGTTGCCGAGGACCCTTTACGGACCTTCCGTGGATAATAAGCGGCACTGTCCTATCAGAGCATTATCCCTTTTGAGAAAAGACAAACTGTCGGGATTGCTAGCTTTCGTGAGAAAGCAAGTAGTAGTGTGCGAGCTCTAGTGCGCCGACGGTGGAAATGCTGTAAGAGTGATGTAATCGGGAAATGTGATGATGCAGCATACTCAAGCCACACACACAAAGTTCCAGCAGCATGTTTAGCTTGAATGGAAGCCCGACTGGCATCCTATGATATCACGGGTAAAAGCGCCTTTCTAAGAAGATCAGTACAGGAGCCTTACACATCGAAGAAACGGTCTGTCAGGCATAGCCATCAAGAAGACAATGAAGCGATTGACTAACATGTGCCAGTCGGACATTTTCCCGCGTTATAATAAGATATACCACCAACTCCTCTGCCTACTAGAAAACTTTACACCTCCTGGGATATCATGAACCATATAAAGAAACCGAAAGCCCCGTCAGCGGCTCCAGGGCAGCCCGTGTGAACCATGTTCCACAATGTAGCATCATTTGCCGACCATGAGTCTGATCAGGCCTATTTCTTGCCCAGCTTGTTCAACAAGTCTTTGCCCTTGCCGAGCAGGCCCTTTCCGTTATCCTCGCGCTTAGAGTCCTCGCTCTTGCGCTTAGCCTCGGCACTCTTTCGTTGCGCAGGTTGTGCGTCGCCGATAATGTTTGCGGCACCTCCACGACCGTAGTGTTTGGGACCTTGGGGCTCTGGATGAGGTTTGCTTTCGACATCCTGAGCAGCGCGTGCAAGTTCAGGGTGCTGGGGATCGTTCGTCGCCATGTTGCCAGTGCCACCTCGGCCGGTGGTGTATTTGTCCGACTTAAGCGTTGGGGTGACGAGGTCCTCAGGCTTTGGGTAATTGGTAGGGTCGTCTTTTGCGATGTTGCCTTGGTACGTTAGTAGTCGATCAAAAGCAGAAATTGGCAAATATTTGTAGAGCGCTTCATGAGGGGCGTTGACTGCCTGACCACATGCGGTAGTTCTTGCACGCGCATTCGCGCTACAAAGATGTGCCGGCCTAGCTGATGACCCAGGTATTGTGGATTTGCGCTTCAAGATGTGGAGGAAAGTAGGGACTCACCAGCACCTCCGCGCCCATGCGACGCAACGCGCTGGTATTCGTTTGGCCGAGTAGTCATGATGCTCGAGTTTGTTTGAGGTAGATTCCTGGGAGTACGAAGGACAGCAGGCTACTTTTGCAGGAGCGTGTTCGGCGGCGCAAACCGTGGTGAAGTCGCGGTGTTCACTTGGCCAAGGCGGAGGAGATTGAACAAAGGCCCAAGTGATGACGCGATGGCAGTCACAACACTTCTTATATTGACCGTGCTCTTGGCTCTTCCGCGAGCAGCAAGCCAGGCGCAAGGGCAAGACTTTCAAGGACTGTGCTCCGTTTTTGCGCGCCAGCAGATCGTGTTCCCTTGAACACCATCGCGGTTAAGCACCAGTAGTCTACTCGCAGCTGGGCACGACGCGCCGACGGTGCTCTTTCTGGTCGACTAGGCGGCACGTTTCTTTCTGAGCCGTGAAAAACTCCATGCTGTGCGCGTGCGTGACTCTGTTTTTGGGTTTCTGTGACTAACGTCTAGTTGCTGCTGCGGGGTCCGCAAATCGAAGCACTATGGGCGGGAGAACGTCATCTTCGAATCCAACGACGAATTCTGCAAGTCTGTGAAGAGGGGGTCAGGTGTCGCATCGGAAGATTTGAAGGTTGCCTGAAGGCTTGCTTGCGACGCGTTCGCTCGTATATATCTTGCTCGCACCCATGGGAGGAAGAAGCAAACATGCAGGTGCATCCACGCATGTAATCCCATTATCTTTGCCAAGGCTTAGGGCAGGCGGCAGCGTGGGGTAAGTTGCAGATACGCGAATGCAAACGCCCCATCTATCTTCTTCCTCGACAGTCCCATCGACTTGAACTCATCTCCAAGACCCCGGTCACGTCCGCGATACGCCATATTGGATGGTTCAGCTTCTTCAAACTTCGTGGTTTGTATTCGTAAAAGGCCACGCTACTATGCCACCCATTATCTATTCTATGATACATGTTGTACGGAACAAAGTCCAGTAATGCTGCAACGCAATCCCTATCTGCCTGGCTCGAACAGCGCCAAAGCGATGGCCAATGCTATAGGATTGCTCCGTATTCAACAAAAACGCCGTCTAGAATCCCAGAAAAGATATCGCTATCATGCCCATTGTACAGTCTGTTGTTGTACACAAAAAGGAAATCCTCAAATGCTTGAAATGCAGCTGAAAGTACGAAATATTGTAAGAGGTCGGCCTCGAGGTAGTAATGGAGGTAGAGGTAAGAATATGCGGTAAAGACAGTCGGCTGTGCCCAAGGCCAAGAGGAATTGTTGGCGTAGGCGTCCGTCAACCCGATCTGATCCCGTTTGGAGAAGGATGATGGGATGGAACCGAGTCGTCTAGTAGAATGGAGAATTGGAGTCGTTATCTGGATCATGTTAGATTGAGTGTGGTATAAGTCAAGAGACAGGTCACACACTGAAGTCAACTCCAAGTCTCTTAGCCGCCATCGCGTGGCTGGCTGCCGTCTTTTGGTGCCTTGAAGAGCATCATTGGAGAAGATAGTCTTGCGCTTGGGTTTGGCGCTCCACCGTCACGGGGCTGGGGCTCGAGGTAGGCGAGATCGTTGTTCTGTACAAGTCTCATGGTGATGGTAGAATAGATGTATACGCGGTTGGGCCGAGATATAGATTGGCGTTGCTGAAGGTTGCGGGCTGTGGTTGATATGGTATGCAGGCAGATTTGAAGGTTGGATTGTGATTGATGATGTTTCACACCTTAGGTGCTCGAGTATATAACTATCTACATCCTGAGGCCTGTCGTAGCCTCAACTCTTTCCAGGAACAGGCAATGACTGCCTTCTTTCAGGCTATGACGCAGAAACGGTTGAGATTAATCTGCTCCGGTGATTCAATTCCATGTCAAAAGAACCATGACTGCGCCACGAGAGCAGGAGATTGAATAGCTCATTGGGTGTGTCCTGACGATCAAGGCGACAACCAGGCTGCAATTCGTTCTAGCGTCCTTCTAGAAGGCTAACAGCCCTGTCCACCCCGAGGGTGACTCCTTTAGTCACCGCCGATTAGCAGCAGAGCCACGGTGAGGGACTCGAATTGCGGGCTAGGGCAGAATCTCCAGGCAGAAAAGCGGCCATTGGGGTCCGTAAATGGTGAACCGATGTTTGGTGCCTAGTTGGGCTGGTGAAGTTCGCGAGCACATGGTGCTTGCACAGCCGCAGTCGAAGAGCCACACCGCGGCACGGCGCACTCAAGGCACTCCAGGCATCTTTTTGCAAGTTTGAGCCCATCGATAAGTAATGGCCCCAGGTCGTCTTTTTGATGACTCTTGTGCCCATTGTCATTGACCGGAGTAAACACAGCCCGTGGCAGCATTCTCCCAATCGGTCGACGCTGTGGTGCTGCGCCTCGCACTCGCATCTTGACGATGGTGCATCTCGGACCAGCTAACAGGGCAGACGGGGGCCAGGGGAACAACTGCCGGGTTGCGAAACGAAAGCGACGCTGCTGCACTGCAACATGCTGAGGTACTTTTTTCGATCGTGGTGACGAATGCGAAATCGGTTTCCGAAACAGAACGTATGGTGTGCCCAAAATGCAGGAGATTGGCGTTGGTGGTAGCTGATTGGTTGAGAAGGCGCAGCCTTTCTTTCATTTGTCGGACTGGGGTAGCGGCTTGCCTGTTGTGGCAGTTAGCAAAGGAACTCAATAACCATACTTTTGGGAATGACTTACGACCACCATCAAGAGGCTGGGTCTCACCAGGAATCTTGGGTCTGGAGATGGCGAACAACATGTTGCTGGATTTGGATTTGGATTGATGTGGTAGTGTTGAATGTGGTAGGGGGCGGTGTTCGGATTGGTGCAGGTGTGCTTATGAGTGGGTAGAAGTGAGACTATGTGTGAGACTTTAAGATTCACAAACGCGGCTTTGTATGGTAGCGGTGCAACAGGAGTGTCAGTACTTGTGACAGTGGACCGAATGCTGGGACATATATATTTAACTTCTGAAGTCATGGTCCTCCAGTAACTCATGATACTGACGTCTACCTTGGCCGTGTCCTCCATGATCCACGGGGCAACGGACGGGCCAGAAGGGCACCCAGTCCCCGTACGTGGCCCTTCGGTACGTATTGCAAGCACAACCAACTGGAAGTGAAGCAATTGCACATTGCTTCTCTGGGATGACTCTTGGACGGCGTCTGAAAGGGGATGGAACAAGACAGAGCTGTCATCCCCACAATTCCACGTGAAACAGCCAATCGTGCCGCCGCCTCGTCGACCCGGTGTCTCAAAGAGTCGTCGACAAGCCTGGCATCCGTGCCTGATAACATAAGCTGTCGCGCGTGTGTGAGGAAGGTCCTGGGAGACTAGAAGCTGCGGAAGCCGAACCCATTCGCTGCTTCACTCTCCACATCCCTGCGCGTCGAGGCCCGAAACCCAGCACCAACCCTTCACAACCTTTCATAAGCGGTTTCTAGACGCCTTCTGCATGCTTCGCCGAACAGCCGTTATGCCGTCATAGGGACGGCGCGTCACCGCGTCTCAGCCCATGCCCGGGCCACCAGAGCCACATGCGCTGGCCACACAAGATCACGAGGCTCTCGGATGCGGCTCCCAGACACGCTGTCACGTTCATTCGAGCCACGCCGCCAGTCCGCGCTAGGTCTGGATCGGTCGGCCCGCGTTCGGAGACGCAGGTACACGCCTGGAGTGTGCTCACACTGACGTCTCAAGAGCCTTCGTCAGCCAGAGAGACAGCCAGCCAGGGTCTCCGTTTCATCCCTTTTGCGGATGACAGACTGCACAAGTGGTCGAGGCCAAGACAGGGAACTTTACGCGTCGTCGCGTCGCCCGTGGTCGCGACCGTCGCGCGCCCTCCCAGTGTGCCCGACTGCCTCATCGGCCGACTGCGCCCCGACGCCCTTCACCAATAATCAGCACACACAGTCTTCAACCACTCAGTTGCTGTTGCAATATGTCTGGGAGAGCCCTACAGGTCGCCCTGCAGTGCCCCTGAGAGCAGGACGTCTTTTGCCTGCTGAAGGACCTCTTCGCCTCTGCGTGCAAGTAATACCAAGTTACGGACAGAGCCTCCGAGGTCCTCCCAGATTGCCACTCAGCATCTCGGCTGCACAGCCAGAGCTCACAAAGTCTGAGTCGAGCACAAAGGACGGTGCAGTGGTGGTAGTCCTCCAAGCCTAGGGGCTATAACCTTTCGGGTACCACGCGCGCCTTGTCCTACAATAGCAACAAGATCTGCGACGATCTCAACTACGGAAGGCTTGGCTGGGGAGACTTTGAGTCTGTTTGAGTAATTCCAGACCAGGAGGCAGCCAGCTTGGCTGTAACTCATGATTTGCGTTGCGCTTGAAGCCAGGCATGTTGAGTGTTAAACATTAGAGAGCTTGATGTCTATTCGCGGAGACACCCATCTCGTAAATCGCGCAACTCATCCTATACGCGCACGGCCACCATACATACGACGAGACAGGGTGCTGTTCAAAGCATACACAGTTCAGGTTGACACAACCGCTGACTGCACATGTGCACTGAGCCTCGCCTCAGGAGAAGCTCCATCTCGACGACTTTACTTGCCTATCAGACCATCTCCATAGAATTATGCATCCTCAGGTCTTACTGCGGTGGTGGCTGCAGCCGACTCCTAGTCTCTTCCATGCCTTCAACGTGTTGTTTTGCGCTCCGGTTCGAGATCGCGTGCGCGCCCATGCTCCAGGTCATGAAGTGCAACTATGCCTCTCACCCTCGTCTTCTCAACATGCAGAGTTGAGAACTCTGCAGTGAATAGATTCATTTTCGACTTGTTTACGTCATGTTGTTGTAGACAGATTCTAGCTGCCGGGCGATCAATCGCTGCGACATGTTAGATCTACGAGACCCTGCCGCCAAACGCCAGCGGTCATTGCTCCACCCTTCGAGTAGCCCTCGCCCCGCAGCAGCCACGCGAAGCATCACTGAACCCCGATGATGGGAAATACACTCACTCTTACACAACCAACACAGTCGTTACCGTAATATCCAAACTATGACAACCAAGTCCAACTTCAAGCGGGCTGTGCCCCAGACGCAGCAGTCCGTCCTCGCGTCTTTGAGAACCACGCAGTTGGTCAACGACGATTCGAAAGCTGTACTACCAGCCGGTATGAACTCAGTGCTGTATGGTATCGTGTGTCTGACTGGATAGCACAGAGCTCATCAATGCCATCCTCGATTACCTACCTGTCGCCGATATGTTCAGCTTCGCACGCACCTCGAGACGCATGCGCGAGATGGTGTACGATGACACCAGGTGGATACAAAGACTTAGAAGCATGGGCTGCTGGAATGAGGCCGAAGCAAAGCGCAGGTTTGATGAATCGATGCGCAAGAAACTAGAGGCACAAAGAGCAGAGGAGGCCCGTAGATCTGGCGTTGCGCTCAACGGTAGCACCAACGGGATGCCCCCAGGTGACGGTATACCCGGAAAGACAAGCATGACGCTTTTTGATGCCACGATAGAGGAGGACATGCTGCGGAAGTCGCAAGAACACAGAAATAGACCACGATCTACTACACTGGACAGGGGCTTCAATGACATGACCCTGTCATCTTCCGGAACGTTGGCCCCAAGCTCGTACACTGTGGACCCGCAGGCGGCTGTGAAAGTTCTGTCAAATGTGCGTTCTATCAGAGGCATGGCACGACAAGAGTATGGAAAGGTCTACGGCGCACTGGCCCCATTTTATTATGACTTGGAGCGGTCAAGAAGCCACACGGATCCTGTACTCTTTCGGGCTTATCGCGATCCCGAACAACAAGCTCAAATGCTGGCGCAGCTCAAGATTTTTGCAAAGAGCGATTACGCACAAGGTTGGAGTCAGCGGGAAGAGAAGCTAGACACCATGACTGGCATTTTTGAAAACGCTGTGCTCAGAGAATTCGAGCAAGGCTATGCAGAGAAAGACTTCGATGGACGTATGAAGAGATTTGCTACTGTCTTGGTGGCTCTGAACGGAGGCGCGGCATGTTTAGACTCTTTTATTCACAACCACCCATTGATGTTGGAAAAGGAGAAGCTCGGTGACCCTGCAGATTGCCTCCGCAACGAGGTTCTGACACTGGAACCATCTCATGAGTTCTTCAGAGGACTGGCGAGTGCACTTAACGAAGAGGCGGGCATCATCGACCGTGTCTTCCCTCCTGCGGTCGACGTACTACAAACCTTTTTCGAGCGTGTTGCGGACGATGTCATTGCCGAATACATCACAACTTTGTTCGACGAGGCTCACGATATAAGCATTGAAGCGTATCTCAAAGCGGTTGCGGGGGTTTATGAGCAAGCATTGCAACTAGCAGTTTCTTTGCATCCTACCAAAGCATCCAAGCCAGATTTTGGGGAAGAGGCAATGCGTATTGTGTCTCGTTGCTTCGAGCAGCACATCGACCTTTATCTACAGGAGGAATTAGATTATTTTAAACGAAAATCGGCTGCAGAGGTCGACCTTTGGGAGAAGCGGCTGATGGAGGAAGAGCAAAGCACGGAAACTCTGTATATGGCGAACGTCAACCGGAAAGCTGTCAAACAGGACTTTTTGTCGTCGTTCAAGAAGGTGGTCATGATGCCTGTCAATGTACTCCCCACTATTGGCGGGTCAAGTACTAGCAAGCCCTCCGAGAACATATCTGGAGTGAATGGCAGTACTACTTTGGAGCCTACCTCAAGGATTGGTACCCCAGCTCCGGGCGATCGGTCGCCTACACCGCGAATCGAAGCTCCGACGACCGAGCTTGCTGCCAAAGCAGCAATCATGAATTCTCGGCTGGAAGGCATCCGATCGCTTTTCAGCATTGAGGTGGCTCTGAATCTGACACATATGGCTAAGTCTGGATTAGAACGAGCTGCACGATTTGTGAGACTTGGTGGCCAGTCTGGTGAAGAGGCAAAGGAGCAATCTGAGCAGATTTTCATCAACCTTGTCCAGATCCTGGGCAACCGTCATATGAAGTTGGGCTTTGATAAGGCTGTCAGCCATTTAGCTGACTACAAGCCGCGAGAGGTAGCGGATCATAGTAAAGAGGGTGTTGCACCGCTAGTAGCCTTCTTGGAGCTTGTCAACGTTGGCGACTTGATCCAGCAGATGGTTGAAGTATTCTACCTCCAAGAGCTTGTCGCAGCTAACCTCACGGACCGTGACGACTTCCTCAGTCTTGCTGCCAAGGAGAAAAAGCGGTTCGAAGCCATGTTGGATGAACGGGTTGCTGCAGGTCTCAACAAGGGTATTGATGTGCTAATGGACGAAGTGGAGTATCTCTGTGGTACTACTCAACACCCGTCCGACTTCAATCCCCCTGTTGGACCCAATGGCCAGGTGCAGATGTCTGATATCGGACCTAGCCAGACGGCTACAAAGATTGTGGAGGTGGTGTCGTCACATACAAACATGCTCATCGGTAGCACGGACAAGAATGTCCTGGATGTTTTCAATCAAGAAGTGGGTGTGCGCTTGTTCACTGCTCTCTGCAAGCACTTGAAACGCCAGAGAGTTAGTGTGGATGGCGCCATCAAACTCATCAGGTACGACACACACTCTCTAAGACCTCCAGGCACTAATCGACTTGGACAGCGACATGAACGCTTACAATGCTTACATCGTCTCACTACGCAACAAGCCTCTCATGCAATACTTCGCCGCGCTTCGCGAACTCTCTCAGATATATCTCATCGACGCAAAGGAAGCTAAGGAGATTGCTACGATTATCGCAGACACGGATCGATATCATGGGATATTTCGAGCAGAGGAAGTATACGAGTTTGCGGAACGAAGAGCGGATTGGTACCAGATCAAGAGTGCTGTGGAGAAGCAGATGTACGGAGTGGGGTGTCTGGTCATGTGAAAAGGTTCAAGATCGTCCAAATGACGTCGACTGGAACGATTGGAAAACGAGGCTGTTGGATCCCCAACTAGTGGCATACGTAGATTACCGCTTTCGGCGAGTATGCAGCCCGCCGGTGGTGCAGATGATGCGATGCACGAACAGAAAACATGGCTTTGACATTTGTGCGTGCTTGTATGACTTGGAGAAGACGGACAAGAGTGGCTTGTTCGGTTTTCTTGTCGGGTCGAACTACGGAGATGGTCGTGGTTCCCCAGCCTCCATGGTCGGCGCCGTACCTGGAGCTAGACCGCGCCCGTGCATTCAACTTCACACCTCGTCGCGCATACTGCAACCATCCATGAACCTTAGTGCTTGTTCTCTTGCCCCATTCATCTCCGCGACAGCGCCCAACTTGCCCTGCCATCTTTCTCTACCTTTGAGTCCCTTCCGACACAATTTAGCGTCGCTTCTCGCTGACTGGACCCCGCTACGTCGGAACTACCGTTTTGAGGCGCCCGACCCAACTCGGCTGCACCTTCGCTGGCTGTCTCTCACCTCTTGAAGGTTATACCGCAACCACTATTGCTGGTCGCCAAGTGAGAGACTGGCCACTCGCCCGCCATACGCGACACTTGATATACATCTCCTACGCCTGCATCACACATCCCACTTTTGGTTCCAAGCCGCTGGTACCAGCTTGTGTTTGTTTGCACGACATAGCCACCACGGAGGTCGGAGCTGGATCTGAGCTCCGCGGTACTTGGTGGATTCGAGAGTGGTCCTCGCAGCGATCATTACCCTAGCGTGCCATCGCTAGTTGTGGGAGCTCTTGCTGTGGAGTAAGGAAACATCGCAGCCATGGCAGGTAGGTACTCACTTGAAGCCTCCTACGCGTATCTTTATTATTCTAACGTGTCGCGGCAGAGCCCCTCCCTGCCGCAGTGCAAGCTTCCTACTCGGTCATCATCGATGAGATCCTACGCGCCAGCGACATCAACACCATCTCTGCAAAGCGCATACGGAAGGGTCTTCAGGAAAGAGTCGAGGATGACCTTTCGCAGCAGAAGGTTTGAAGCTAGACATGACATACGATGGCATGACCTGACATGAACAACTAGGAGCAAATCACCACGCTCATTATGCAGCGCTTCGACAAGTTCAACAACGAGCAGAACGGCGGCTCCGAGGTTTCTGAACCCATACCTACTGTCGAGAACGGCGCGAAGGCCTCCAACGACGACACCTCCGACGTCTCCCACAACAAGCGATCGCCGCGCGATGACGAGTCAGTGCTCTCTGAGGTTGAAGATGTTGCACCTCCCAAGAAGAAGGTCAAGAAAACCAAAGTCAAAGAGGAGGATGACGATGCAGCTTTCGCGGCGAGATTACAGGCTGAGGAGAACGCGCGCATGGGCAGGGCGACACGCGGTGGGAACACAAAGCGGAAGGCACCTGCGCCAAAGAAGACCAAAACTAAGAAAAAGAGCTCTACCCGCATCAAAGACGAGGATGACAGCGACATCGCATCAGGGAGTGGGGGCGAGAAGAAGAGCCCAAGCCGAAAAGGTGGATTCCACGTAAGTTATTCTCCATGACTATATATCACCATTCCGAATTGAGCTAACCACTGCCCAGAAACCTATGGCTCTTTCTCCAGCCCTTTCTGAACTCCTAGGTGAAACACAGCTCTCGCGTCCACAAACCGTCAAGAAGATTTGGGAGTACGTCAAAGAGCGCGACTTGCAAGACCCAGCCGACAAGCGCCAGATTCGATGCGACGACGCCATGCGCGCAGTCTTCAAACAGGACCGCGTTCACATGTTCACCATGAACAAGATCCTCAACCAGAATCTGTACGCCGTCGACGAAGTCATCTCCACATAGTCCTAGTCCACAGCGTACTGCGGTTTACCCCAACTTCTCTACACAATACTTCACGCATCATCGCAGCGATGAAGAAAGTAAATCTAATCTACACAACCACACACTGCATCCATAAATTGCGTCCTCTTTCACGACTATATCACGAACACTCGTATACGCGGCGGTCCTCGACGCTCAAATTCGTTTCATCATATCACATTCGTGTCTCTTGAATTTAGCAGCATGGCGCATTCACGGTGTTTCTCAGCTGGGAATTTCCAGAAGCGTGCATTTTCGGCCCGGGCTGTGTGGATATTAGGGGCTTTCCATTTTCTTGTCTTCCGCAGTTTTTCGCTACGAACGATCTGGATGAACGAAGAATGGAGCGGAGAGCAATGCTATGCATGATACAGGCAAGCGCAAACCGTTGGTTGGACTGAACGCATGGTCGCTTCCTTGGTAGTCGTTGGGTATGCCTTAATGAAATGCTCTTTTTCAAGCAGTTAGTCAACTGTCCTTGATGACATGCCGTTATACGTGATTTGAGAAGTGATTTGCAGTAGTGACAGTGATATGTGTAGCGGTACAAAGTACAGTTATACTACGTATTACGCATGGTAATCGATTCTGATAGCACGCAGACCCAGATAATCATTCACGAATAAACAAGAGGTATCCAATACCGGTACTCCAGACCCAATACAATACAACCACGGACATGACTCAAGGGCTCATGCCGAACTTTTGAACCCATCCACAGTTCAGAACCTAGAATTCTTCAGGGAGCTGGAGCTGGAAGTCCTCATGATCTTCCTCGAGAGGATCCGCACCATGTAGTTGGGTGTTGAAGCTATTCATCCACGCATCATCGTCCTCGTCGTCTGAGTGGGAGAGAAGCAATAGCTCCAGCTCACGCTCAACATCCTCGGCTGTGCGGCGCGGCTCCTCCTCCTCCTCTGGAGGTGTGACGAGTGTAGCGTCGGTGGCGGTAGAGCTGCAACGAGACATGGGACCACGAGATCGCATGGTGCCCGTGTTGGTACTCGCACTGCGGATGTGGGTGGAGGAGGCGGGTCGGGAAGCAGCGGAGAAAGGAGCGGGCTTGGTAACGTTGGAGAGAGGCTTTCGAGCAGCTGGAGCGGCGCGTCCGGCGCGGCCTTGAGCGTAGCCAATGGTGCTCTTGGAAGCTGCTGCAGCGGATGCTTGACGAGATGCTGTGAGCTGGGTAGGAGTCTTTGCTCCCTTCCGGCTTGCGACTGGTCCAGTGGGCACACGCGACTTTGCAGCTGCGGTTGGAGCAGCATAGCTGGGCTTCGATGGCGGAGAGAGAGCAGCAGCTGCAGATCTGGCTCGCATAGTCGATGGTCCATTCGTTCTCGTCCTGAGCGCAGCGGGAGCCTTGGGCGCCTCCTTCTTTGGCTCCTTGATACCATAGTATTCCTTTGTCTCGGCATCGTCCTTTGCCATCTGGGCAGCGAGCACCTTCTCCATTTGCTCATCACGCTTTTTTCGACCCTGCTGTATCTCCTCCTCAAACTTGCGCTGCTCACGGGTCCTTCCGTCGTCCTCGATTGGGTTGTGGTAGGCTTGCCAGATACCGCGGACCATGTCCTGGTTGGTGATCTTGGGCATGGTCCAGTCCCTGGGAAGGAATTCGTCCATGTCATCTTGGAGCGGAATCTCCTTGGGGGGCATGTATTCAACCTCAGGCACGTCATCTTGGTCCTCTTGGGCGACTTCAGGCTGGTGGATCTTGACTTTGGGTCGGCGCATGCGAGGGCTCAGTTTCTGTGTCTTCCCAGCGGAAGAAAGAGGCGCTGGAGTTGCGAAGGCCCTAGACTTGGCGTTGGTCGTCTTCATGCCCAGCGGCGCGCGAGTTCGTGGACCTAAACACGTCAGCTGTCGGTTTGCGCAGCCTGTCGTCTCTAGTCGTACCGGCTGGCGTAACAAAGGCATTTGCGTCTATCTTGCCGCCCGCCTTAGTGGTAAAGAGGCCATTGCCCTTGCCCTTGGTGTTTCCTGCTCTGCCGACGGCATTTTCGTCGTTGAGAGGGATCTTGAATGGCGTCTTGGGGGCTTTGTTTCCGGGTGTTTTGGCGTTGAAGCCCTTGAGGCCGGCATTGAGCGACTTTCCTGCAGCAGCGGCGTGCAGATGGCGGACGGCGTTTTCCTGGTCGTTTGCTGCGAGCGTAGCCATTATGGGGGTTGCATTGAGCGAGTCGTGGGCGGCGTGGTTATTCCTATCTCGTAATGGCGATGAGGGTCGGCGATGCGCCTGTGTTTACCCATGGTTGCTAGGGCGGCGGGAAAGAGGGTCTGGGCTTTGGAAAGGGTCCGGGCGGAGGAGGTAGTCCCTTTCGGCAGCGCCTGCCCGCATTATCAGCTTGCACACCCGCTTGCAGGAGACAATTCTCAGACACCAACTACTCTCGACACTGCGCCGCTTCACATCCCTACATAGCCTGCAGCTGTCCGCCTCTCGTCACTTGCAAACACACCACAGACACCCTTCTTTACCCCGCCCTACACACGTCCAGCAGCTATGGATCAGATCAAGAAGGTGAGTCCACGCATACCCCGCCAAATCCCCTTTCTTTGGCACCCAGCTGTACCCGACGCCACAATGCACACCTGCTGTACCAAAGTAGACGCTGACCTGACCCTTTGTACAGCGCATGGAAGCTCTCCGCGTTGAGGCGGATGAGAGCAGCGCCCGCGCCGAGGAGCTCAAGGCGACTGTCAAGCGCCTCGAAGCCGAGACCACACAGAAGGAGCAGGAGATTACCTCGCTGACGCACAAGAACTCTGTGCTCGAGAGCGAGGTTGAGAAGCTTGAGGGGCAAGTCAAGATCCACAAGGACGAAGCTGGTGCAGGTGCTCAGGCTGGCACCCAAGCCGAGAGCCTCCAGCGCAAGATCCAAGTTCTCGAGGAAGAAGCTGAGGAATCGGACAGGACGATCCGCGAGCTCAACGAGAAGTACGTTCCCTTTCTTCTTCTACCGCGCTTACCGCTGCTCCTATCCACTATCTACTACCCCTGATCTGCATCCACTGACACGTCACCCGCCAGGCTCCGCCAAACCGACGTCAAGTCCGGTCACTACGAACGCAAAGTACAAGCCCTCGAGCAGTCCCGCGACCAGTGGGAAACCAAGTACGAAGAGATGGCCAAGAAATACGCCGACACCAAGAAGGAGCTCGACGACTTCGTCAAGGAGATCGGTAACATCTGATCTCGCTGTCGTCTCTCTTTTTTGCTTGTTGACTGTGTTTAGTCGAGTTCTGAGTCGAGCTTCGATATCGTCCCTCTGCGGATCCCGATTTCGAGTGCGTGCGACAACATGAACGGCGACGGTAGTGGAGGATGATACTGCGGCATGCGGCGGAGCTTGAAGAAGAGGCAGATTTTATATCACATTCCCCCGTACCCCCTACCTTACCCCTACATATCTGTTTTCTTTCCTGCGGCTGCTTGCTGGGCGGGCTTGTTCGCTTTAGATAATCCCTGAGCGAATATATTGGCGGTTCCTGACATGAACTGGTTTATACCATTACTCACATGTGACTGTTAGGTTCAATAACCTTGACCAAAAGGCGGTGTACCATTGACGACCCACAGTGCTATAATGGAGTACGGCTGTCTGAGATGAATGCAGCATCACGATATACGAACGCGCCGGCATGCGCCATGTCGGCTGTGACATTCAAGAAGGGGTATCATTATCTCAACTTGTGTAGCTTCACAACTCCCAAACATTCCCCGCCCGTTTACTTCGCCGTCCTAGCCTCCTTCTGCTTCCTCTTCTTCAAGCCTTGCTTCATGCGCTCGGCCTTTCTCTCCGTCTTAGTCTCATACCTAAACTTCTTCTTCTTCTTCTTTGGCCTCTCGCTATTCTTCGGCCACGCCTTTGTCCATACCTTTTTCTTGCTCGCTGCCTCCTCCTCCTCCGCCTTTTTCCTTTCTTCTTCTGCCTTTCTCTTCGCCACCGCCTCTTCGTCCTCCTCTCCTGGTCTCGAGAAGCCTGCTTTAGATATTCCTACGCTTTCTATGGTGACGGTTGTGTATTTGTCTTCGTCGACGTACTCGTCTTCCTGGTTGATGGGTTCGGGTTCTTGGAAGCCTTTGAATTCTTCCTCGTCATCGTCGTCGCCGGATGTCTCGCCCGCAATGATGTCGTCCAGATCTCCATTTGCTTGTTTGACGAGTCGGTTTACTTCTTCGACGTGTTTCTCTAGATCAACTTTGCGCTGTTCTCGGAGCTGTAGTTCAACGTTTTGTTAGCTTCAATATTGGATGAATGTCTGGGACGTATATGCATGCGATAGCATAGATCTTGCTATCCGGTAACTTTGGGTGGAGATGGAATCGGAGCTTCGCGTACCTCACGCCTGAACCTCAGCTTTTCCTCTTTCTCCCTCTTGGCATTCTCCTCTTGCGCATGCTTTATCCGTGCAAGTTTGCGCTTGTGGAAGCCTGTGAGATATTCTTCGCGCGCCGAGAAGTCAAACTCGATCTTTTCGGGGGCTGTGACCGCAATTTTGCGTTTCTTTGATGGCGGCGCCGAATTCCTCATAGTTGAAAGGTGTGTAGAGTGTAATGTTGACCGTACGACGGGGTGTGGTATGGCTGGTGCTGTTGTTAGATGTTCGCAAAGCAGATGTTGGCGTTTAGGAAAATTACCTGGGCGAGCAGGGATCTTGGGAATTTAGGTGGGGCCGAGGTACTTTGGCGCTACCCCGTGTAGGGATTACCATGGACCAAAGATTGTGATACATCAAGACATGATCTTAATGCCTGATTGCATTCCCAAGAGACTAGGTAGTGGGAATCATGGTCTCAAGGATCATAAAGATAGGTAAGGTTTGGTGCAATATTCAATAGCGATGTGCGCTACTCGTCACAACTTCCACCAATCTACGCATCTATCTGCGTCTTGTCGCCGGTTAGGCCTATGCTCTCTTGTGACGGAGCTTGGGTGCCACTGTGCGAGCTGTCCATGCCGAGGATCTTCCTCCTCCACGACAGCGACTCCAGGTGTCTCTTTGCCTTGTGTGTTATACATAGCGCTGAGTCAACGTCCTGAAGACCAGTCTCTCCAAACATAGCCAAGACCATGAGGCCCAGGAAAGAGTGATACATGTCCGGTGGATCTCCGGTGACCTTGCCAAAACCCCCAACGAGATGCTGCGTTTTGTCTAACAACCATTTTCTGATGGGTTGCCGATCGATGATATCCAAACGACCAAGAAGTTGTAGGGGCGTCGAGGTCCAGTAGGCGTAGCATGTATCTGCTACCTTGTTGCATCTACCATTCACTCCCACCCACTCCAATTCAAAATGAATGTGGGGTCGTCCTTTCAGATTTGATTTTGCTTGTGCAGACGGACGGGAGCTCAACTTGACAAAAGTATGCGCGTCATGACACGTTTCTGATGTATCTGTCTCGTCGTTCAAAGTATCTAAGCCATCGTCCTCGTCTAGCGTCAAAGTCTGCCGTGAGACGAGCCAGTGCAGGGTTTTGGGGACATCAGTCACTCCACGGATGAGACTGTCCGGTTTTTGGGATGGTGGTAAAGGCAGACGACCCACGAAATGCAAAGCAGCGATAGCGCAGCAGGTGAAGCCAGCGTGTGCCTCATGGAAGGGTGCTTCTGATATACCTCCGTCGTAGCACTCTGCTTGTCGAACACAGTTGACAAACTTGTCAACATCGATGTCCGGTACACCTTCGCAAGGACCCTCTAAGTCGCCTCGAAGTATCCACCGGATGGCTGTTGCCATGTAGCCGAACCTAGAGTCGTTTCCGCCATGAACAAAGTCGCCATCGCCTAGAGTCTCTCCAAAGCTGCCTTCCGGTCGTTGCATCTTGACCAGCCATGTCAGGATCTCCTTTCTCTTCACTTTCTCCAGATCGTCGCCCAGCACGACCAGCGTGAGGAGGGCAAAGAAAGTTCCAGGGATGTGGGCAGGATCCCAGTTTTTGTTCTCTTCACTTCTGAGAGGGCCGTAGTTGGAGCCTGGCCATGGGCGGAATCCTCCTTCAGGCAGCTGGCAACTGTAGACCCAATCAATGTGGCCTTGTCGCTCCTCGGCTGACAAAGCGGCATCTAAATCTCCCAAAATGTCGAGGGCAGACACAGTGAAAAGGGCCAAAAGCATGCGGTTGGAGTCATTGCTGGTGTAGAAGTGCGGCAGCAGCGTCTTCAAGTTGCGGCGCCAGTACTTGATGTGACGAGCATAGTTGAGTTGTGTGTTGGCATCAAACGCAGCTGGAGCCATGATGGAAAGGGAAGCGTGCTGCGTGGACCCGGGAGCGTTTACCGAGCGAGATCTCGGTTCCCCTGCGAAGCTTGGATTTTGATGGCGGGGCTGACCTGGAGGGCCAAGGCGACGTATGCGTACAGTAAGACGGATGAATGGTTAGCAGAGGCAGGCTCCACGCCGAACAGACTTTGGAGTGTCTCGTGAATGCACCTGCACCCGAAAGTTTGGGAAACCAGGGCTGCGACCACGTGCAGGGGCGGTCGGGCAGTGATGGGGAGTGCAGTCGGTGGTCTTGTTACTTTGGCGGCGCGACAGCATTAGCACGGCGATGATGCATACAGTAGACGGTAGCAGGCGCGTGGCTCTAGCTCTAGTCTACTTCGTATGCAGGGGCCGCGCTTGGGGGTCGGTGAATTGCGTTGGTATTTATATCGACCGCTAAAGGCGAAATGTCGGAAGCTCGCAAGATTGGTAGGCTTGCCTAAAGGTGCCAGGGCTGTCACGACAAACGGCCACATGCAGGGGTACATGAGACATCATTCAGCTCTGCCAGTTCTGACCCAGCTGCGGTCTGCAACACCCTCCTGACGTGCCTCAGTCTCGCCCTACTCGACTTATCTCCAATTCCCCAGACGCCACCTGCACCGTCGAGTCACCCCGAGTCCCCTCTTCGCTGGTGCGACGTCACACAGGCCGCTCCGTCTGTCACTGGGCCTACGCTTGCGTGTTCCCCAGACTTATCTTCTCCGCGCGCTCACTACGGCCGTTGAACGACCATACCCGTACCCAACTTCGTTGTTTCTTTTTGATACCCCACATTAGCCGCTCCTGGGGCGACTCTGCAAACACACGGCACCATGACGACCGGATTCGCGGCGTCCTTCTGGTCGAGCGACTATGCCGGAGGTAAGAGCTGCAGCCGCACACAACACCACCCCACTTTGGCTGACTCTCCCAGGCCTGGGCGTTCTTTTTGGGAAGCTGCAGCAGGGAGTCCAGGAAAACCAGCAGATTCTGACTGTGGCCCGCATGCGAGCTGATGCCGAGGAGGCCTATGGAAGCAGTCTGTCCGCCATTACACCAGCCACCGATCGCATAGGCGGGGGCTTCAGCAGAGATGAGGGCGCAAGCGTGCGCAAGGTGCGTCCCCACGAGACACGGCCACCGCTCCACGCTAACTGGCAACAGGCCTATGAAGGTGTGCGCACCGAGATGGAGGCAGCGGCAGCAAACCACAAGAAGATCGCATCCAACATCCGAGAGCTGGTAGTCAACCCCTTCGGCCGCTGGTGCGAGGCGCATGCCGCCCGCGTGCAAAACTCCCAGGATGACCTTCAATCGCGCATCAAGATCCACGACCGACAAGCCGATGCTGTCCGTAAGTACCGATCGCAATACTACAACAAGTGCCGGCTCGTCGAGGACTTGGAAGAGGAGGATAAGCTGGCATTCCAGGACCCCCAGAGCGAGGCCGCACAGAGCCCCAAGATGAAGGTGCCCACCATCAAGATGTCCGAGCCAGAGAACGAGGAAGAAGAGCCTATCGACCTTGGCGACGAGACCTACCAGCCAGACCAGGTCAAGAAGATCCTCACCCACATGCTAGATAACATCAAGATCGCAGAGGTCAAGGTTCCCATCCTTGGTACCTACCAGAACTGCTCAAGCGGTGCCGATATCACTGAGTACATCCAAAAGCACATGGCAGCAACCACCGTGAGCTATGCGGAGCGCATTGGTCAGGATCTCGTAGCACATGGCTTCCTGCGCTTGGTCGGCAATGTTGGCAACACCTTCGCAAACAGCTCCCGGATGAACTACCAGTGGAAGCCCAAGACGTTCCAGGTTACCGGACTACCGGAAAAGAAGCAGCCCCTGGCACGTTCTTCCACCGCCATGTCAACTTCATCGGCTGACAGCATCGCCGTTGACTCGCCCGTCTCGACTGTTCAGGAGTATCTCCAGGGATGGAACCCACTCAACAACCAGTACCCGAATGAGACACCGGCAGAGAGGCTTCGACGGGAAGCTCACGAGTCCGACGAGCGATACAAGGCCTCCGTCAAGAAGCTTGACTCGCTGCGCTGCAACCTGGAAGAGGCTATGGTTGACCACCTCAAATTCATGGAGCGTTGTGAACTGGACAGGCTGAAGGCTATCAAGGCGGTCATCTTGGATTTCTCCGGCGCCGTTAGCAACGTCATTCCTAGTCTGCAGAGCACCGTCGATAAGATGATGCTGTTCCAGGAGACGGTCCAGCCCCTGGGCGATCTCCGATACATGCTCGAGAACTACAGGACTGGACCATTCGTGCCTAGAGTCACGACCTATGAGAACTACTACAACTCGGTAGACGAGCAAACGTTTGGTGTAGACTTGGAGGCTCGGGCTCGTTCAGACAAGAAGCGTGTTCCGGTGCTCATCACAACAGTCCTCACTTTCCTGGACAACCATTATCCCGACTTGGAAGGCGACGAAGCCCGCCGTGGCATCTGGCTTGTTGATGTTCCTCTGTCGCAGACCCACAACCTCAGGGCTGAAATTAACACTGGCAAGAGATTCCCTGACGAACTGCTTGAGAAGTATGATGTACCGATCGTCGCTAGTGTCCTCAAGCTTTATCTTCTGGAACTTCCCGGTATGTATCAAACCTCAATTGCTGACTCGCTAGCTAACCATAGCAGACTCACTGGTTTCTTCTCACGTTTACGAGATCGTCAAGACTATCTACAGCACTACCGCCACAGATGTGTCTGAAGAGACTCGGGTCTCTGTTCTTCAATCTACTCTTGGCCAACTACGTCTCGCGAACATCGCAACGCTCGATGCCATCTGTACCCACTTCACTCGTCTCATTGAGCTGACTTCTGCCGACGAGACTTATGTTGCAGCGTTGGCCAATGCACTTGCGCCATGCATTCTAAGGCCAAGGCAAGAATCGAGTTTGACAATGAACGAGCGCTATAGCTACCGTCTCGTCCGGGACCTTTTTGCACACAAGGATGCGATTTTCGGGGAGTTGAAGCGCGCAAGCACGCTCACTCACTCATCTTCTGGCGCACAGCGTCCACGCGCGATATCCACAGATGAGAGTAACCGACGAGCAAACATGGAGGAGCGCCAGCGTGCCATTGCGGCTCAGCGTTCTCCACGGGCAACATCGCCAGCACCTGGCTCACGCATCTCAGGGTCGCATCGCCGTGACAGAAGTCAAACTCGATTCCCGGTGAATACATCCTCGCCCACCGAGACTCGGAGGAGTAACGGAACAAACCGTGGTTCGCTTGAAGTACCCGGAAGTGATGATAGCCCCACCCACGAGACAACTCCTGTGACTACGAACGGTATAACAGAGGCTGCTCCTGCTCCCGCTGCTGCCCCTGTTGAGCACCCAGCGCCATCAAGCACGCGAGTGCCTTTCCCACGGAAGCATGCAGGCAGCTTGACAAGGGGCAACCGGGACTCTACCGGTAGCTTGAGGAGCGATGACACGGCGCCAAGAGGCGTTACGCTAGAAGACACACCTGCAGCACCACGAGGTGTTACGCTGGAAGACAAGCCCATGGATGATTAGTGGTAGACATGGTTCAGACTTTAGCAAGCATTTTCCTTCGGGAAGTGAAAGAAGGCAGCCTACACCGCCCGGCCCGCCCAGAGAGTCCCATGTATACTGGAAAGTAACGTACTGGGAAATTGGCCAAGGGCTGACCCTGATAGCGAGTAGCAGGACGGGCAGTTGTACAGCATCTGTGGAGGAGTGAACAGCAAATTTGAACGCTGTATACATAGTCTGGGACCAATGATTTGACGGCATGCCTAATGGTGGTATGTGGAATGCAGCATGATAACTACGAGTGCAGACGGCAATTGAAATCTGATGTTTGTTCGCGCTACTCTGCTTGTTGACAATGGCGGCTCGTACCTGAGGCTAAACCAGGGTGACTGGCACGCTAGTACTCAGCTGTCAGAAAAGCCCAGACCCCATCGTCACACTCGCATGTTGAGTTCCAAGGCGGAGCAGCATAGAACCGACATGGGGGTCAGCTGTGTGGCTGGGCATCGGCTGCCCGATCTCTAGAATATATACATGCTCTCTGTTGACTTCCTTGGGTGCCGCTCACTTTCCGCCCATCTACTCTTCGCTCTTGCCCCTCTTGCGGTTGCGAAGCCTCTTGTACTCCCTCGTGGTGCGCTTCGTCCCGCCCTCGATCCAACCCCACGTTGATCGTCCCACGAATCACATCGCGATCGCAATCGAAGCTTCCCACTTTTTGAGGCTTCGCCATCACCGCGTCTCATACCGGGAGTCAAGGCGCCATGTGTCTCGTCAAAGTCAAGCAGGAAGAGGACCATGTAGTCCCGTACCGCGTCGTCCAGCGGAACCGCTCTCCGCCCCGTCGCCGCGCCTCACGTCAATCGCGCGACATTGAGCGCCGTTATTCGCGCACCGAAATAGTGCACGACTCTTCTCCTAGGCCTTCAGCATCCTACGTTGCGGTGCCCTCACCCAAGCCTCTCCAGATCCCCGCACCACAGCCTGTGCCTGTGTTTGTGCAGCCTCCACCACCCCCGGCGCCCATGCCGGCTCCACCTCCACCGCCTAGCCACATCTCGTCTCACCATACCCAGGCCCATTCTCACCACGGCGGCGCACACTATGTCGAAGTTTCTCCACGGTCGAGCATGAGCTCTCGCTCCTCCAGCCCTAGCCGCAGCGAGTATGTGTACACTGAGCGTGAGGTTAGGCGCGAACGCGAGCGCAACTACAGTCCGGAGAACCCTCGCTACGAGCACTACAGATATGTAGAGCCTGCATCGAGCGAGAGCGATCACTACGAGAGATACCAAAGGCGAGACAGGAGCAGACAACGCAGTCGCAGCCGTGGCGGCTACGAAGAGACTAACACCAGGGTTGCGTATAGCAGGCGGTAACCGTCTGCATACGAGTAGAGAAATGTGTCATGCTTGCAGGGACTGTTATTTTGATGGCGTACGGTTGGTCTCGTGTCCTCACTTTAATCTGGAAGGATTTGTAGCATCTGTCCATAGCTGTGGTGCGGTCGCCTATAGTTTTTTTTTATTTCCATATCTAACCTAGCATTTCGCATTCCGCTGTCCAAATGCTCGGTGGCTATGAGGTCATTCGTGATGTTGAGCAACAGCGTACACGTCCGCGCCGCACTTGCCGAGATGTCGAGAATAAGGTCCACATGTTTAGCAGCCCAAAGGACGAGTTCCGGCTGCCGGTGTAAGCGGTGGTCAGGGAAGCCTTGTGCAGGGTCGGGCACCAGTCGAGTGGTTCACATGCTGGGTTGTGATCAGCATTGATCCAGGTCAGCATTATTCTGCAAGCTGAGAACAACCATCAAGGCACACACGTGCTTACATACCGCGCCCGCCATACCTCGCGCAAACGCTTTGACTGCTCTAGCCCATGGCAAACCCCGGGACATGATTGGAACACCCGTGCAACCCTCTTCCGCCGCTCTCTACCGCCGACCATGTCTATCCGCGTCCTAATCAAAGACTACCCACACCGCGCAATCGCCCTCGCTACCTCAACCCATGCACTCGTCCTCCGACACAGCACATCCACCACCGAACAGAGTAGCAACGTCAATGCCTCGTCGACGTCGCTGGGGAGCAATGGCGCCGCCGCGGCGCGCTGCATGGTCGAATTCACCCGGCTGGAGGAGATCGACCTAGGCGATTACCGGGCGCTACACTCAGTCCAAGTACACGGCACATTGGGCTTGATCACTGTAAACAGCGACGTGTTCCTGGTCGTCGTCAATGGCGCGAGCAAGGTGGCCACGGTACGGCCTGGCGAGACGGTGCAGAGGATATACTCGGTCGGCTTCTACTGCTTGACCAGCACGAGCTACGATACCCTGCTCAACGACGAAGTCAATCCGTATCCTACCGATACCATCGACGACGAAGGATACGAAATGGGCTTCGGCGGCAGGAAGGAGCAGTCGACCATGGAACACCCGTGTCTGGCGCTCAAGAAGATACTCAGCAGCGGAACCTTCTACTACAGCTCGGACTTCGACCTCACCCGACGATTGCAAGACCGTACAACCGACGCCGCGACCGTTTCCATCGATAGTCTAGACGCTGGCTTTCTGTGGAACTCATACATGATCCAGCCGCTGGTCGACTTCAGAAGTCGCCTTGCGCCCAAGGAGAAGGAGGCTCTGGATGCTTCTGGGATCCTGACATCTGCGATCCGGGGTTTCGCCCTTACAATTACCATCCCCAAATCATCTGCTCCCATTAGGGTACAAGACTCGGGCATGCCGTCTTCCATGACACTGATCTCCAGATTGTCGTGCAAGAGGGCAGGAACGAGGTTCAATTCGCGAGGTATCGACGATGACGGGAACGTCGCAAACTTTGTTGAAAGCGAAACAATCTATTGGGCGCCGTCCGGCGCCTGCTTCTCCTACGTGCAGGTGCGAGGAAGTGTACCCATATTCTGGGAACAGCAGGCTGGTTTGCTTCCAGGGCAGCAGAAGATCACCATTACTCGGTCGCCAGAAGCCACGCAGCCAGCCTTCGACAAGCACTTCGACAATCTAGAGCTCAGCTATGGCACAGTTCATGTCGTCAATCTTCTGAGCAACGAAAAGCAGAACGAACTAGAGTTGACGCACAGATATCGCGGCCACATCAGAAACAGCCCTTTGAATCAAGGAAGCGACATCAATGACCAACAGCACGATCTCATCAAGCTCACAGAATACGATTTCCATGCTGAAACACGGGGGCCAGGTGGCTATGAGATGGCTAGTATGATCGCTCAATGGATCCAAGATTCTGCCGAAGGATTTGGATATTATCTCTCGGAAGAGGTGGATGAAGTCACAAGACACAATGGAGAAAACTACGCTGTCCGCCGGACAATGAGCATATTACAACAGGAGGGTGTCTTCAGAACAAACTGCCTGGATTGCCTCGACCGGACGAATCTTGTCCAAACCATTATTAGCAAGATGGCGTTGGAGATCTTCTTAAGTCACAAGGGCCTTCGAGCTAGCCAGGACTTCTGGGTCAGACATTCAAGTATGTGGGCAGACTGTGGTGACGCTCTTTCGAAAATCTATGCAGGTACAGGAGCGTTGAAGTCCTCGTTTACGCGATCGGGAAAGATGTCGCTTGCTGGTGCTCTGGCAGACGCTCGCAAGAGCGCCACTCGAATGTACATTAACAACTTCGCGGACAAAGGGCGACAGAACACGATCGATATGTTACTTGGTAGACTGATTGGCCAGGTTCCAGTGCATCTGTACGATCCCCTCAACGACTTCGTGGTTGCGGAGCTGGCACGACGGTCCGCAGAGTATTCAGAGACCGAGATGATCAACATCCTTGTCGGTACGTTCAACTTGAACGGAAAGACAAGTGGTATCAAAAGCGATCTTTCGCCATGGCTGTGCCCAGACGTCGATCCGTCACAGCAGTGCCCCGAGATAGTAGCTGTAGGGTTTCAAGAGATTGTTGAACTGAGCCCTCAGCAAATCATGTCGACGGACCCAGATAGACGCGAAGCTTGGGAGGAAGCCGTTAGGGCATGTTTGAACAACAACGCTGAGAAGCATAGAAAAGATGAATATGTCATCCTCAGAGGTGGTCAGCTAGTAGGTGCGAGTTTGTCGGTCTTTGTCCGGTCAGACTGCCTAAAGCATATCAAGAATGTTGAGGGCGCTCTCAAGAAGGTATGTCAGCATGTTTCGCTCTTCCATGTATTGGGCTAATTGTCATCCCAGACTGGCATGTCAGGTATGGCTGGCAACAAAGGAGCCGTAGCTATTCGATTCGAGTACGCCAACACTTCGGTCTGTCTGGTTACAGCACATCTTGCGGCTGGATTTGCCAACTACGAAGAGCGTAATCGTGATTACAAGACTATCAGCCATGGTCTACGCTTCCAGAGAAATCGATCAATCGAAGACCACGATACTGTGATATGGCTCGGCGATTTCAATTACCGAATTGGTCTGAGCAACGAAAAAGTTCAAAGGTTATGTCATGTTGGTGATCTTGAGACCCTGTATGACAACGATCAGGTAGGCACTCACGCTTTGCTCGCCAGAATCATAGCTAACGTTCTGCAGCTCAACCTCCAGATGGTCGCCGGCTTAACCTTCCCATATTATTCTGAGGCTCGCATAACTTTCCCGCCAACGTACAAGTATGATCTTAACAGTAATCAATACGATACGTCGGAGAAAGCACGCATTCCTGCCTGGTGCGACCGTGTGCTTCGCAAAGGTGACAATATTCGGCAGATACATTACAACGATGCCCCACTTCGTTTCTCCGACCACCGTCCAGTCTACGCGACCTTTCAGTTATTGGTACAGCGAATCGACGAAAAGAAGAAGGATGCTGTGAAGGCGGCATTGTATCGGCATAGGAGAGAAGTTGTGGGCGATACTCATGCAGCAGGACGTCTAGGCGAAGATGAAACGGACGACGAGGATCTCTTAGGGTATGATAGTATTGAGCCAGGGCTGCCACCTGCAAGCTCAGACCGGCGGAAGTGGTGGCTTGACAACGGTATTTCTATCTTAATTTCTGCTATAGCTTGGATGCTCATTGTCCATAGGTTTACCGGCGAAGGCACGCGTAGAACCGCCATCTAACAATCACTTCCCAAATCCAAACCGACCGAGCAACCCATTCACGCCTAGCCCAGAACCAGAATGGGTAGATGTCAAGCACATGCCGAACAGTCGCAGACCTGAGCCACCACCAGCACGTGGCTCACAAAGATCACGCACAGTTGATTTTGACGGTCCCCCGACAAGTTTACCGCCAGCGCAGAAGCCAGCAGCCCGCAAGATGATTGCGCCGTTGTACCCAGGCCATGCCAATCAAATACTTGGCTCAGACGGTGCGCGAGACTCGCTCAGCGATCTTCGACGTAGCGGATCAAACGCTTCCACACACTCCATGCCCAGCTTACCGTACCGCGCATCAAACACGCTTCCCTCAGCTCAATCCTCAAACAAACCACAAGTCCTCCGGAAACCAGCCCCACCCCCAGTTCCTAACAAGAAACCTTCACTTCTCTCCAAGAGTCCCTCGCCGGGGCCGTCATACGCACCTCCTCCACAACGATATCGCGACGACCCTCCGGAAGAATCAAGAGCACACCTACAACCAACAGCCAGACGGTCAATGGCGCCGCCACCTAATTTAACGAGAAAACCGGTACAAAATCTTATCGATGATGATTTCGAGAAACCAGCCTTGCCACCACGTACCGGTACCGGTGAAAGCACTAGGAGTGGTGGTCGAGGAGGCAGAAGTTTGATGGATGATGAGCCGGAAGATATGCGCAACATGGGTGGTGACTGGGAGGTTCTCAGGCCTGCGTATAGATAAAACCATAGCTCCAAAACAATATATTCCGTGCTGCTTCAAAGTATGCCTCGTTGCTGGGTTGAATGTTGTTGTAAAGATTCCTTACTTGGAGTCAGCGTGAAACAACGGGTTGCGTAGTGATAGCATGCAAGAGGGGTTTTGTAACTGCCAGTACAAGTCACGCGATGGCGCGTGCTGTCGCGTCAAGGCTAACCCAATCCCACACCTCACAAACACCACCCTCGGGCCACGAATACCAACAACGCGATCGGACATGCAACACATGCGCATAGTTCAGTATGAAGAGGAAAGGCAGTGCTCAAAGCGGTGTAGAAACCTGCAAGAAAGCAAGACGCGATGTGGACCGATCCTTCACCAACGCTACTCATCCAGTCCTACAACGTCTCTATCCAGAGGTGCTTACCCTGCGCCAATATTTGCTATCTAAACTACCAAGCACATCAAGAAATAGACAGCGAAAGATCTCGCAGCTTGGACGTGCAACATCCGCCCAGGGCATAAGTCAGAATCATCTCGATACCGCCGTAATACAGTTGCTCGATTCAACATTAGTGTGCACTTCCAGTGTGAACGCAGACACAGGTGCTCATACGTGTTTCAAAGAAGAGCGGGAAAAGGATATCAGAGCATTTACCCAACAGCGCTCACAGAGTACTCCTGGCAGCACCTTCAATCCTGGGTACTATATGCAATCTGAGGTAGGTCGTGGCACGTATCACATACTTCCAGGATTGCGCTTATGGAATGAATACTGAGTGAATACAGATTGTTGATTTCGTGATATGGCGCTTATTCAAGCGCTCAACAGCTCACAAGCCAATGCACCTGCTCTGTCATGGATTCCAAAGAACTGGAACCACCCGCCGTGAACAGGGCAATAATGGGAATCCGAGTTCCTCAATTCCTAATCTGCAAGAGCGTCAACCCAACAGCTATAGGCAGACTTTGAAAGAGCCAGTATGGTGTCGATTGCACGCATTACTTGGTCAGGGCGGCGATCGCATCATCATAGACATGCTTCTGGAGTCTTCTATCTTCATTCCTCTTAATGCAGATATGGGCAACTACTACCAATTGTCCGGAATGCCCATTTCTGAGATAAAATCGGATGGATTTCAGAAGAGCAACACCGTAAGAGTCGATGCGGGTTACGAAGCCGTCAACAATCCCTCACGTGTCAAAAGCGAATGTAAAACAGCAGGTACAATCACGTTTGTGCGTAGTCGCATGTTATATGCGAAAGCGGCCCTGAATGCCAAAGGTGGTGTAAGGTTTGGCATGCGCCACATTCGTGCGTTCTCTACTATCCTTCGGATGCTTCAATTACCTGACTTGGCCGGCAGATGTTCTCAATCGTTTTCCTAGCCGGGAAGATAAGCAACAGACGATACACATCATGCGGTATATCTTTCCCCGTCAATTCGGCTTGCACAATGTCTTCACCTCCAAGGTAGATCCGCGTGAGACCGCAATGCCGTTCATGGATTATACACTGCGCGAGAAAGACATACACAGTAGAATGTGCCGGGAGTTGGGTAGCGAAGCTACCAATGCTGAAAAGATAGTCAAATGGAAACAGCGAACGCCCAAGAGGCTCCGAGGTGACGCTGTCAGGTTGGTTGAGAAACTTCGAGTGCGGAACCAGCGGTGTTCGTACATGGAAATGCTTCGTCATTACTCTCCAATCGAGGTACCTCCTGACTGATCTGTGTTTTGAGAAATCATGCTAACTCAGGCAGGGAGTGCCATTGTCAACGAAGCCGGAATGGAGGAAGAGCGTTTTTCAGCCGGTCGTAAAGACAACTAATTGTGAAAAGAAGAGTCAGTATACGTCCAAATCTCGCACCGTTGAGCAAACATGTTTCACAGATCTTGCATGTCCAGCGGCACACGTCTCAGCTTTTTGTCGTGCAGTCATCTCTAAGGTCATACCCGAAGGCTTCTGGGGTAACGAACACAACAAAAGCAATCTCATGTATTGGGTAGACCAGTTCATAGAGCTTCGAAGATTTGAGTCGGTCAATTTGCATCAGGTCACACAGAACATACAGGTCTGCACGCTTCTACCTGAATATTGAGTTGTGCTGACGGATCCTAGATCACGAAAATAGCGTGGCTGCGCCCACCCGGCCACAACGACGACACAAAAATTTCCAATTCCGACCTGAGCAAACGCACAGAGATGTTTCTTGAGTTCGTCTACTGGCTCTTTGACTCTTTCCTCATCCCTCTGGTTCGCACAAACTTCCATGTAACCGAATCCAATGCACACCGGAACAGGCTTTTCTACTTCCGCCACGATGTCTGGCGACTATTGGCAGAGCCTGCTCTGTTGGAGCTGCGTACGAACATGTTCGAAGAAATGCCAACGGAAAGCACAGAAAGACTGCTATCTGCACGCCAGCTCGGCTTCAGTAACATTCGTCTTCTTCCTAAGAGGCAAGGCTTCCGGACTATCATGAATCTGAAGAGAAGACAGCAAGTACTGCGGTACGGGATTACGATGCTTGGTCGAAGTATAAACGCGGTGATGACACCGGCTTTTAATGCGATCACTTATGAGAAGGTCAGTATATTGCTAAAGTTGACGACATTGTCGGCGCTAACCAGATGTAGTCACTACGGCCCGAACAATTTGGATGCTCACTATTCTCTGTCGGGGATATGTTTCCCAGGCTTGCATCTTTCAAGGCTTCATTGCGACAACGGGGGCTTGGCGGCACTCGGCTTTATTTTGCCAAAGTTGACGTGCAGGCTTGCTTCGATACCATACCGCAGTCACGCTTACTGCGTATGATCGACAGTCTCATGTCGATCCAAGCTTACAAGACGGGCAAACATGTGGAGATATCTCCTCTTCCCCCTCTGCAACGTCTTGATGGTAAACATGTGGATCCAATGCCACTGAAAAAGTACATCCCGCACACTGATGCAGCAACGGATATAACGCCTTTCAATCAACTGGTGCAAGATAGGCTGGCAGGCAAAAAGGCCAACACTATCTTTGTCAACACCGACTTGCAACGGCATGAGACTAAAGATGATTTGATGCAGCTCCTGCAGGAGCACATAGAGAGAAATGTTGTCAAGATCGGGAAGCGCTTCTATCGCCAGAAGACGGGCATACCCCAAGGGTCTGTTCTGTCGAGCATCCTGTGCAACTTCTTCTATGCTCAGTTAGAACGCGATATCCTCGGATTCGTACTTGATGACGACTCTTTGCTACTTCGTCTGCTTGATGACTTTCTTCTGATCAGTATCAACGAAGAGTACGCGCGGCGCTTCGTACGTGTCATGCACAATGACCATCCAGAATACGGCGTAGTAATCAAGCCTTCAAAGTCATTGGCGAACTTTGACGTGATGACAGAGGAGGGGACCCGGATATCAACAAGCGGCTCAGATGGCAAATTCCCGTATTGCGGCGTCTGCATCGATACAACGACGTTGGAGATCAGCAAGAAGACAGAGCGCCCTACAAAGACCGGTACGTCGCATTGGATGTATATTTTTGATTGATGACCGTCAAAGGCTAATGAGTCCAGGTGTTGAGGACTCTTTGACTGTAGATCTGACCAAAATGCCCGGCCAAACGTTCCATCGCAAAGCTCTCAAGTAAGTCAATACCCGGTATACAGGTCCGGCCAATCAGGCTAGGGACGGGAAACAAAAGTCCAATATTTTGCTGATATTTGATAGCGCTTTTAAAATCCAGCTTAAAGCTATGTTGATCGATCAATCGTTGAACAGCGTGGCAACGGTACTAGCGAACCTGCATCAAAGCTTTGTTGAAGCGGCGGTGAGGTGCCTCGAGTACGCACGCGCATTATCCAAAGTGCGGACGACGTGTTCGAATCTGCTTATCAGTACGTCTAAACTTTCCTATTTGAAGTGTTGAAGTCCAAATCCATCAAGATGCGCATGCAGGGCTGCCCAGTAAGAGGCAGCGCGTGGAATGGATGATGGTCAGATAACACAAAAGCGAGCACAGTTTGCGCCGCGGACGATCGTGATTGCGCTCGGTTACGCTAGTGAAGGAAATTGCTGACAAGGGAAATGCAGAGACGGTAGATAATATGATTGCGCTAGCCTATGTGATGCTACAGCGCCGTTCGCGATGGCGCGGCAGCAGAGAGGCAGAGATTGCGCAGGGCGTCATTTCGCGACGGCAGCTTCAGTGGTAAGTGTGGCTAAGCTTCCATGTCGTACAAGTTATGCGGGTGGATGCACGATCTGCGATTTGGCTAGATCGACTCCACGGTTTGGAGGATGACATGGCGGGGCTCGTATTTACCTGTTTCCAACGAGGGCTAATTTAGAGGGATAGGCTGGCTTGTAAAGCTTTTCAGACGGTGTTTCAGCGCAGGCAGACACAGCACCGCGCGCTACTAGCCTGGCTGAGAGTGTCTCTGTCAGCTTGTTGCATTTCTGACATGGCAGAGAGACAGATGCTGGAGGAGGCAATTACTTGGCATTGAAAGCTTAATGCACTAATCAAGTGGAGTGAAGAAAGAAGTTGCAGGATAGGCTTTCAAGACGATGTTGGGAGAGGTGACGGATCAGGAACTCGGGAAGAAGCAAACCTAAGGATCTGTGCCGGGGGCCCACGCAGCGCCCACGTTTAGCGGCGGCATGTGGGCGCGACTGCAAGCCTTGGGCCTTGGCTGCAGCAGCTTCGGGAGTGACGGATGGACTGCAGAGAGGATGATGTCGTTATTCGTCTTTTCTTGCATGTTGGAACGCTATGCTATCGAAGCAAAGCACGGTAGTGTAGAGACGGGTCGTTACTTGGGCCTGATAAGCATGGAGCCCAGCAGATGATTGGCCGGCAACAAGTGGTATCGTGATGTCAAGCGTAGATGCGACGGCTGGGACACCAACCCCCATCCCAATCAAGCCGGGGTCAACTATGCAGGCTTCCAACAGCTGGACAGCTTCGTAAAACGCGTTGCTAGGTGCATTGAACAAGGGCCGGCTGGGGAAGCATACTTGCCTCAGTCCTCCCCGTATTCGTTTTTGTGGTTTCAAGCAACATCTGGCATATGGCCAGAGACTCTCACCCTTTGTCCCCATGCCAGTTCCCGTTCCCATTCCCAACATAGACTCGTCCGCTGCTTGCAATTAAACTCGTCCAAGGCACTCTGCGCCGCTGACGGGTCCAGAGCACTGCGAGGCCCACCATTGGAGTCCATCCCTGTCCCCCGACATCAGGGGTTAGCGCAAGTTCCGCAAATTGCGTCGCCAAATCGACGAAGATGCCGGCGGTGCAACATCAACAGCGACTGCCTCCTGTCTACGAAGCTGGAGACGACGACTTTTCCGACGCCGACGTGCACTACATCTCGCAGGACAAGTCGCTGTATATCGTTTCCGCACAAAGCTATGTGCCTGCCTTGATCAAAGCCCCTTGCGAGCGCGACGATAGCTGCGCAACCCAACAGCGACTTCCTCACCGCATTGGCATACCACTACGCCTCTCCACCCAGCGAAGACCGCCTCGACCGCTCATGGCCACCCTCACCTACGCCCAAGATGCCCAGCAAACGTTTGGCGCTCCGCCAGGCAGCCCGCCGGACCTCACAAACTCAAAGTCGTCCAAGTCGTCCAGCATCCACTCGTCCACCCTCCTGGATTTCATGGGCACGACGGAGAACATGTCGCACTTTGAGGACATCAACCTGGACGAAGCATCAGGTGGGCCCTCCTCCTTCCCCATGCCTGCGAGCCCGTCTAATCGCATCCTCTTTGAAGCCCCGCGAGCCTCGCTTTCCAACAGGAGCCTCCCGCATTCCCACTCGGCCCACTCCTTCCGCGACCTGACTGGCGCAACCAAGCCAAAGTACCCGAGCTTGAAGGGCCCCGTCAACCATGCCGTGCGACAACAGGCCCAGCTCTCCGCCCCAGGCAAGCAACAAGCCAGGAGAGGCTTCACCTCGCCCTCTGTCCCATCCCTCTCGAGCCTGAGCCTCGCCGCCCCTCAACGCTCCTCCCGATCACCATCCCCATCCAACACGCACAAATCTGCTTCAGCCCCGCGCACCCTGTCTCGCAAAAGCTCGCGCAACGAGGTTTTGCCGTCGCCCGGTTTGGGCTCGAGGAGGGCGTCGTGGCAGGACTCAAAAAGAAAAACTGTAAAGGAAAGGGAGGCTGAGTGCGACGATGAAGACGATGAGCTTCCCGAGGATGCTGTCATTTGGAATATCCCCATCTCGCCACGTCCCACAATGGATCGGTCGCCCGAGTCCTGGGTTGGCGAGAGCCCGCCTTTGGCGTCACCCAACCCTGACGCCTTGGTGTCCTCGTCTTCAAGGTCGTCCAGGACTTCTCCTGCGCCTTCTGTATCGCGCGTTTCCCAGAGGACTCCTTCCCCAAACGTTTCCAGTAGAGGCGTATCTCCGCAGTCGGCGACACAGCAGAACACGTGGGTAGAGACGTACACAGCACTAGACACAGATGCCAAGTTTCTCACCGGAAAACTGGAAGAATTCCAATCTGAAAAGGAGCGAAAGCAAGAAATTTCGAGACAACAGCCCGGTCTTACACGATCAGCATCCTTAAGTCAGCCAGAACCCAAGAGCAAAAAGCCGGCACTCCCACCCGTCCGCAAGAGCGATCCTCTGATCGATCCTTTTCAGCCATCGGTTGAGAAGCAAAAGTATCTCTCGCGGACCCGACCTTCATGGCTTCCTCCCAAGAACCCCAAGGAAGAGAAGAAGCACCTCAAGGAGTACCAGCGCATGTTGGCTCGCATCGAAGAAGCTGGTAAGTCATTTATGCCTTGAGATTGAGACCCAGAGAATCACATGACTAACAGTCGCAGAACGTCTCGAGGCTCAACGCGCCCAAGAAGAGGCCATAGCTCGTGAAAAGGCCTCTCGCATCAAGGCAGAGTACTGGTCGAGTTTACTGTTACCAAATTGGGCCACTGAGATGACCAATCCAGAACTTCGCGCCTCACACAGGAAGATGTGGTGGAACGGAATCCCACCACGGTTGCGAGGCCAGGTTTGGCAGATGGCAATCGGAAATGATCTCGAGGTCACGGAAGCAACGTATAACATTGCCTTGGAGAAAGCACGCAAAGAAGTCAAGACGCATGGTCACGAAGCGCTCGGAGGCCGTTATGTCTACATTGTCGAAAGCACCCAGGCCGTATTCCCAGACCTCAAGATGTTCTCCGCACGGACATCACAGGAGGCAGAGGACGAGCAACCGCTACATCGAGACCTTGTCGATGTATGCCTAGCATACTCGATGTACCGCCCAGACATCCCGCACTCAAAGTTCGACATACATCACATCGCCGCATTGCTCCTGTTGAACCAAGGCGCGCCGCAAGCCTTCATCACTCTGTGCAACCTGCTCAACCGTCCTCTACCTCTGTCTTTCCTCATCCACGATCAAAACGCCATACATGCCGCATACTCCACAACCCTTCACGTTCTGTCGAAGAAAGCACCCAGTTTGGCACAACGATTAGAGACGCTGCGAGTCGAACCCAGAGATTACCTCTTCCACACACTCGGCTCCTTGTTCTGCGGTCGTCTGGGTGTCGAACATGCTGCGCGCATCATGGACATATACACGATCGAGGGCGACAAGAACCTTCCGCGGGCTGCAGTCGCCATACTCAGCATACTAGAAGGCAGCTGTATGGAAGGTGACGCGGCGCAAGTTGCGAAGATACTGCGGGAAAAGAAGATTGACCTTGATGTCGACGACTTCATGACCAAAGTTTTCGAGGCGGGCAAGAGCTCGTAGTGTAACATCGCTAGTGCTGGTTGCTATAGTGGTCACTAGTAGCAATCAGAAAGTATTAATATCGCATTGTACAGCTGAAGAAATAATGGTATAATCAACAGAAAGGAAAGAAGACGAAACAGAGAGACAGAGGACAGAAAAAGGTCGATGATATACGAAGACTCATGCAGCGCGATTTTGAGCTGAACACATCACTGGTTAATCCCTTTCTTTGCATACAATGGCGTTCTCGATTTCCTTGCGTTCTGCATACATGGAGTTTTGCTATCAGCATCAAAGGCATGTTCGCCATACAAACAATTTCCTAACTATCTTGTATATACAACGTAACTCTTAGATCTTGGAGGAAAGCGAAAGCCCAATGGTGAGTAGATGAGGTAGAGAATATATTACCATCAAGCAAAGCCCAGTTCCCATGTGTTTATTTTCATTTAAACACGCAACCGAATATGTAACTCGACTTACCCCTCACTGACATATTGGCCTAATGGTGGGGTGAGTCTGTCTTAGTGACAACGGCAACGGCAACGGGAGGCGTTATCGTTTGCCATGGCGCAGCTGAGGTGGAAAAGGGAGTACGGGAGCTAGTTTTTTTTGGCCTTCGTATACAACGGTGCGGCAGGGGCGCAGTCAATAGTATGCAGCCATTTCCGGAGACGTGCTAAAGGGTCTAGGTGTCCTTATCTTTCTCAGCTCAGCCCTTTGCTGTGTCTTGGGGGAGATAACAGGAACAACGTTGTTCGCGATTGGGACTAGCGTCGTATCCGCTTGATGTCACAGATCTGGATAGCAACCACGACCTCAACATCCACCTGCAAACCACAAGTCTTTTCGTGTATACACGTACCCCTTTCCATACCAGATGGTCGTGGGACACAACAATCGACTTCTTTCTCTGTCCAAAAATTGACGGTGTTCCATCTACGCTCGTTAGTCCAAGCTTGCGTCTCATAAACTAGGTACATGAGAAGCTTCGCTCACATTACATGTATACATGTAGGCAGTGAAGACCAGTCATGACTGCCGTGTATTCAAAAAGCCAGTAAGTATAGTTGAACACGTTCTCTAAACCCTTTCACTAGCAAAGATGATGCGACGTCCCTCATGGATTAATCTCCCACGAGTGCGCCTTCCAGATACTTCGCAGCAGATAACCCGAAAACGTGGTTTTGGTGTGCGAAAACTTACCTCCTGAGCTATTGCAGGGCATTTTTGATAGTCTTTTCAGGTTGACGATCAGTTCGCTGACTTGAAAGCAGGATCGTTGTTATGAGCTTTGTTGTCTCAAGCTGTTTTGCAGGATGTGGTGTCACCGCGTTACTTCGGCGTGTGATGATGTCTTCCTGCTAGATGGATTCAGTCCAGTCTAGACTGCCTTGAGTATCCTGCAACGATGTAAGCTAGGCCTATCAGGGTAGTGGTTGTACAGGTCATGGAGTACCTGAACTGCCGTCGATAGTCTCTGACATGGAACATGTAGTTTCACATTTGATAATACTCATTGTACAAGAATTGGTATTTAGTCGCTCACATTCTCATACCATATCAACCCCGCTTCTCCTTGTTTTCCGCCGCCCTTCTCTTGGCTCGTACCTCTGCCTTTCTTCTCTCTCCGCCATCGACCTTGTGTCCCCTCCTCACTTCCCAGATGCCCTCTTGCAGTCGTATCCGTGCTCGTAGACCTCCACTTCCCTTGACTGGCTCCACAAAGCTGCCC